AACATTAATATCTATAATATTAGTAGTAGTAGATAGGTAAAAGTTATTTTCAGGGGTATTCATCGAACCTAAATTTATTTTTGACGCTCGATACGATAATCTAGTAATTGATTGTAGGTATAAATTGTACCTACTACACTAACTGTTCAACGACACATCGGAAGGTGAAAGCTTTTTTAGGCTGAAAACGATAACGTGAGATATGATGGTATTTCCGTAATTAAATATATATACATATTAAGATAAGGGTTTTAATGGTTCCGTTTATTCCTTTATAGCTATTTTCATCCGTCATCGATTTTCGTAGCCAGTTATTGACTTCCATAACTCGACTCTCAGAATTTTATGTTGGAATGAAAATAAGAACGTGTGAACTACAAGAGTAATATATTTGAAGTATGCTATATATTGTTTAAAAAAGCTATCAAAGTTTCTGATTAGTTATGCCTTGGGGAGGACCAAGATATGATGCCTCCTATCCTGTAATTATATTGCCTAATCGCACCCTACCACCGAAAATCTTATATATAAGTAAAACTGAGTCTAACACGACTTATTGCAGTCTACCTCTGGTTCTGGAAAATTTGGTTTGTACATCAAGAATAATGTATCCTAAATTATTTTTGTAAATATATATATAATATATTATATTGTTAGCTTTAACGCAACAAGAACGTCACAGCATTTAATTTGTCATATATTTCGATACAAGTTTTGTATGTTAGTTTCAATTTTGAATTAGACCTAATTAATATGGCAATTCGAATTGAAAAATTGAGAGTCATAACATATATATATACAAATCCAGGGACTTTAAAAAAGGCAATTATTATTTCTCTATGCATGCGTCGTAACCGGAAGACGAGCATAGTAGAGCGCGTTCTTTTATCATTACACTGTATAAAATAAAGTCTATATTTAATAGAATTAGGTGTTGTTTTGCGAAAGTCCATTTCACTACTCGATGGATTTATATTATTTTGTTTAATTCCGCTACAATTGTATTGTATTGTATAGTATATATTTTATAGTATTGTATTGTACAATTGTATGTATTGTAGCGAAATTAAACAAAATAATATAAATCCATCGAGTAGTAAAATAAAGTCGCTGTCGCTGTCTTGTCTGCCCTATGTATGCTTAAATCTTTAAAACTACGCAACGGATTTTGAAGCGTTTTTTTTTAATACATAGAGTGATTTTAGAGAAAGGTTTATATGTATAATATGTACACCCGTGCGAAGCCGGGGTGAGTAGCTAGTTATTATATGTATATAAAATTCTCGTATCACAATATTAGTTACCATACTCCTCCGAAATGGCTTGACCGATTTTTATAAAATTTTATATTAATATTCATTAGGTATGAAAATCGGCTACTACCTACTTTTTATAACCCGAAATGATAAGGGTTGTCCAATTTTATTGTTTACCAGCATTGTGTATCAGCAACCCCTATAATTTAATAGCAATTTTAATTTAAATGGCAAAACAACGTTTGCGGGGTCAGCTAATAATACTATAAAGATATATTTTATGTGCAGTTAGCTATACCGGATATAATGGTGTGTAATTCACACTCCCTATATTTTACCCATATGTGTAGGTACAATAACCTGTGAACTTGTATTAATTTGCATTGTACTGTGTCATCCATCGTGTCGTCTGAGTCCACAGTCAACGTTCAAACGTATAAAGATAGTGTGCTTTCCACAGGTTAGTGATTATTTTATTACACCTAATATTAAATCTATTATATCTTCTTCGGTTAATATATTTATGAAAAAAAAACTCATTAATATTTTGTGAAATAATTAGTATATATTTTTTACTATAATTCCATTACATTTCTCATACTAACGTGACAATATGCAAAATGTATAGAAATGGAAAATTATTCCAATTTCTTTCAATGACAATTAATTAAAGAAAAGGAAATCTAATAGTCGTTTTATAAAATAATTAGTTGTCACTCGAGACTTTATTTATGTTAACGAAATATGAAGTAGTCTTAAAACTTCTCCAAACCAAATAGTCAAACTGCGTGCCAGATTTCAAAAAGACTCATGGAGTCGTTATGGCGTCAAGAGAAAAGATGAAGAAATTACGTAATGAAACTTTTCATATCACTGGCAGACTATATCAGAAGTAGATTAAATAAACGTCGTCTGTGTTGAAATAGGTAAATATGAGTGTAACCTATTTTAGCCGCAAAGCACATTGCTTTATAAGCAGTGTTTTTATTATAGAGTCATATTTATTGTAGCAGTGAAAATACAGGATGTAAGTCATAATATCTTAGTCCTCTGGAATGACCATTCCAGACGCATGAGTGGTATCACAAATGCCACATGATAACGTGATGTCCGTAGTCCGCAGTACTGTTCATGTATATAGACCCCTTACCATCAGGCGGGCCGTAAGCTTGTTTGCCATTCTAATTACATAAAGAAATAAATACGTAATTATATAAGGGATAAATATTATTTACTTTGGCTATATCATTAATCCGTTAATAAATTTTATAGTCTCCAAAATTTATAAAAATTTTAATTTAGCGGTCGTCAAAGAAGTGCGGCCTTATATAAATAGTACATAGTAAAATCCAATTAATATGTTATTAGTAAATATGACGCCAGAAAATTTGACCAGAAAACAATGTACAGGAAATTAAAATTTTGACCACGTGTGCATAAAATTTTTAGTAAAAACTTTAAGTTTGACTTAATTTCATTCAAATTGCTATTACGTGTTTCGATGTTAACCACAGTACCACGGTGTTCATGTATTATTCATACCTTCTGTCCCAAAACATAGCATGTATAATACAATTAAGTAAACACAGAATAAATCACGAATACTATTATAATACCTACCTATATTATATACACTTATAGAAATCCTTGTGTTATCCTAATCCTAATGGTAATCTTTTATTTAATGATCATCTTCTATAATTCATAATTTTTATTATAATTCGTCCAGTTATTTAATTTTGGAAAAATTTGGGACAAATAATCAGACACATTTTCGAATTTAAAATATGGGTGAGGTCATTGAACAAATATATCGAAAATTATTTTTCTCCCATCAAATGACGATTTGGTAAGAGTCATGAGTGCCATATATTGTATATTTTTTATGTCTATATAAAACGGTTATCGCTTGCCGTCAAATGATCAATCATCCCTTTTTATTTCGATTGAAAGGAAAGGTTGTCACATTACACCTACTTCGATTTAGTTCCAGAACAGGTAAGATAGAACAAACATAATCCAAGTAAAAATAAATCACTACGGCCACTACTTTATATTATTTAAGTATATGTCAAAAATAATAATTTTTATTTATTTTGTTAAATTTTATTTGTATTTCGGCTTCTATGTTTTTTTCGAATGTAGCTATATATGTTACCGTAGTACTTACGTATACTATACGTATAGCTACTGACATAAGATGTGCATGTGTCTTTATTAACATACAATTGCTTTCAAACTTTATGTTGACCTTACTGCCGTGACCCTCATACCTTCCCGTGAGTCCCGTTGTTATTCCATTAAATTATATAAATTTAAACAATTATTACCTGTTATAACTATAAATAAATCAATAAATCTATGCGTTTCATATAAATACAACGTCATCTAGGCGCAAACTAATCAAAAATTACTAAAGAAAGAACCTCTAGATATATTTCGATTCGATAATATTTTTATTTTATACAGACATACATATATTTACAAAATAATGCAGGATGTAAAAAACACCCAAACCATTACAAAACACCTAACATATAAATGTACGTATCAATATACGTAAATGTTTTAATATGCTAAAATCAAACCCAAGTCTCTCGAAAACGAGTATTAAATGGGTGCACTATGAAGGCCACTACATGAATGTAAAATTGCAATATTTATTAGTACCTATGTATTTCAATTACTGTTAATTAATTTGATTCTGAACTAATTATATAACTAAAACTTAGTGTAATTATTTAATATCAAAATGAAACAAATGAATTGATTCTCGCGATGTTACAATGATTCTAAAACAACAATGGCAGGTATGTAAAATATAGAAGAGAAGTTGAGGTTCTATTCATCATCACCATAATTATCAATTTACTTTTCTAGTATGGAACATTAGAAAATTTTCTAAAAGTTACGGTTAATATATGTATTCATATAGAACATTTAAGCTACTTACGAGTATGTACATGAATTTTTATGTCACTTCAGCTGACACTTTCAGTTGAAAATAAATTTAATTTCGAAGTAACTGAAGTTTTCAGAACATAAACATAATATTCTCTGAAATACTTAAGAATCAACCAGATACTAAACCGCAAAGCAATTATTTTGTAGCTCTAACCAGGATAAACACGTACGTACCTAAATTGTGAGAACTTTCTTATTATTCCTATGTCAGGTGTATAATCTACACTTCTTTTGTTAGAGATTAATTGTTGCTAGATATAAGATTTGTAAGTTTGTAACAAATAAACACAAATACTGCTGAACCGATTTGAAAAATTCTTGCACCATTAGAAAATTTATTAAAAGATAAATTAAGTAATATCTCTGATATAAAATAAAACCCAAAGGATTAAAAAAATGCCATTAAATGTGCATCCGTACCAAACTGAGACATGTCTTATTTAAAAAAAGCAGGTTACAAGGTCAAGTAATTTGGGTTAAACATTGTAATGACAATCTAGTCAAATTATTAAATACTAAATTATGAAACCGTCAAGCATCATTGGCTGCTCAATGACTTTGAAAATCCTGTACTTACCTGTGCTTCTTTTAATGATCAACGTAAGTACGTATTAAATACATATTGTAACCTCAATTTATGCCCCTCACGTAAGGTTAATGCTAGTAACCAATACTGCATGCTTGCAAAACATATCTACTTCAGTTGCTGACATTGTTTTTAGTGAGACACACGTATTTGTGCATTTAATAAGTCATTTAACCATTATTGTGATCAAACCTCGTTCTTTTTAACGAATGTGTGATATTTGGTACAATACAGACTATGTATTTAAAAACAATCGGATTATAATCAGTGTCGAATGTAGCAGGTTAAGTATGTGTATCATTCATTTCATAGAAGTAATTTAATTTCTATTTATAGTAATTTACTTTTTTAAATAATACATTTAAAAATACGTAATTATGTATTTATGAAAAAAAAATCTATGTATATTGTCGTATCTAGGTAGTACCCATAATACAAGCTTCAGTAACTTAACTTGAGTCTAGATCGCGCTGTATGAAGTGTCCTTAGATTATTATTTGCTTTTTGAAATGCAGGTAATGTTCTCTTAACAAAAATACAAAGCCAAATTTAGGTTCATAACCACCACCTACATGCAATCTGAAATTGGTATCGTATTAAACAATAAATTAATCTTTTTCATGAATGAATGATTGAATGATATGATGAAAGATGACACCGGAATTTGCACGCCACTCTCCACCACCACTCATGTTCCGCATTAGGTAAATCGCACAGCAAATAATTATTAACTGAATTAAGTATAATACTACAAATTTTAGAAATCCGACCTTAAAACATAACTTTAGAGTCTATTTTTTATGATTTCCAATTATCAGTTGATACATTTTATTATTAAGATTGCATGCATTATCGGTCCCGAAGTTCTTCGAGTATATAGCAACCACGTGTGGTGTAAATAATATTGTTGTGATATTTCAGCAAAAGACTTCCCTTATGTCTTTGCATATTGTAAATTTTATACATAAGTCGTTATTATGTTGTAGTACATACCGACAAGAATATCAAATTTAAGTCATAAAAAATATTACACATTTTTAGTTATAAATGTAGTTGTGTATATTTCTATAGAATATGAGTTCCACACGGTAGGGATTCTCAATTTATCCCAAGGGGAGCCAATTTACTGTTAGTAACTGTCTCCGTCTGGCTATGAGGCATCAATCTTTTGTGTATAAACTTATAGGTATATTTTTCGTAAACTAGCAATATATTTAATATTAATTATATTTTAACTACACACACTTTAAAGTATTTTTTAATATGATTGACCTACAATGTATAAAAAATAAATTATTAATAAACATATATGTACTGGTAAATTAAAAAAGAAATAGTATTCAAAATGTTTGTGCTAATAAGGCAAATTTATTAATATTTATATTTTGTATTAGCATGTTTAGCATAGTCTTAGCATTATTTAGTTGATTAAATATAAAACTTACAATAAGTATTTGCAATAACTATTATGGGTATGCTATATATAAATATCCATTTTCTTATTATACATTGACATTCATCATCATTTAAAAAAAATACTTTTTTGCGGAGGAATTTTACTTCAATCTGACGGGATCGTTCAAAATAGTAAGTCGTATAAAAAAAAATTTAAATGGTCAGGGTATTAGATTAGGCAAGGCAATACCGTCTGTATCTATGAGACTCTGTTAAACGATCAAATTTTTAGACTTTTTCTAGTGTCCTGGCTTCTAAGTCGATAATCTATCATCTAATAGACTACTGGAATATATAACTTTATGATTCATAATAAATACATTTTTTTTAAATATAGTTAATTTTCAACAGAACGTTTTTTGATAATTAAGAATTCGGAAAATGATAAATATACAATTTTTATTTCTGAAAAAATAACATGCAAGGAGCTTGGTTCCTCTCAAAGTCAATTCACGTTATCAACATTAAATAAACTACAATCAATAATGGCACCTTTTCAAAACCCATTAGAAATCATTCACTGTTAAAATCTACGCCTCTATTATTCGTATTTAGTACGTATGTAGGCTTTATACAATAAAATTTCATATTCTACAGGTAACCATGGCGGAAGAAAACAGTACAACCAAAGACCCGAGCGGAAAATCTAAACTTAGTAAAAGCCGCGAAGCAAACTGGCCGGCTGTTTTATTATTAATTCATATACATTTACTATCACTCTATGGTCTGTGGCTGCTATTCTTCGAAGTAAAATGGAAAACTGTATTTTTTTGTAAGTATTAATATTATTTTTCGGTTCAAATGAAGCCAGATGATCAAGTATAAACATTAATTTAATTGCCTTAAATAATACGTAGTTATTGATATACAATAGTTATTAATTTAGACAAAATTAACATTATCGTCGAGTTAGACTCACCTATTTCGGCCACCAAGCTTGGTTTGTAGCATATATGAATATATTTCGTTCGGAGGTAATATATAAAACAGTGAAATTACAAAGAAAGGGGACATGATATACTAGTCGTCTGGCATGTCTCCACTTACCAGCAAGAGAGCCGGAAGCTTGTTTTTCATTCTAATTAGGTATGTGAAAAAATATTTGCCAAAATACGAAAAACAACGCTAAAATTCTTCGATTTCATATTTGTCTCTTTAGCGCAGATTTATAAAATACAATTACAGTAACGTAATAATTCTCATTCAAAGATTAAATTAACAATCGGATTAAATGTCCATTAACATAAAATCTTTAACGTTTATTTCATAGTATAATATCTTCAATATATTCTAAATGAATTGGAAATAATTTCGTAACGAATGAAATCGAATTTTTGTATAATAAAATCTTATATTATTTATCTACAGTGTTATTTCTTACATCAATTGCTATTCTGGGAATGACAAGTGGAGCCCATCGTTTATGGGCACATCAAACGTATAAGGCAACCAAATCGCTGCGCCTGGTTCTAATGCTGTGTCAGACTATGGCTGGAATTGTAAGTAAAAAATCTATCTAATCTAAAACTATATCCTGTAATATTATTACACAATATAGTTTTGTACCTTGACATCGCCACTTCTACGTTATTTACTTATACCTTCTAAATGTTCTCACAATTCAGTCTTTTTAGGTACTGTAGGAAATAAAGTAAATGAAAAAGCTTTATCTATATGTACTTAAATATTTTACAATTATTGTTTTAACTCCAATAAATTTTAATTACTGAATAAATTCTAATTACTACATTAATTAACCGATCTGATTCAAAATATTTAGTTTTTTTATGTTAATTCTGAATTGAATATGAATGTCCAGAATTGACACAATAAATCTGAGGTGACTTGATTATTAGAGAATAGTGATCCTATTTGTAATAACCTGTAACTTTAAGTCTACTCCCACGCTCTCCCTTCTATAAATCATTATGGTACATCCGCCAAGATGTGCTAACTAACTTGACTTCATGCTTATCCTATCATCATCCACTAGTCTATACGCCAGCGCCTATCGTATACGGAGGTACGCCATTCCATATACTATCTAACATATACTTAATTATTACTTCTCTTTGTACTAAAAATAGTTATTCTTATTACAAAATATTTTGAAAGACATGGAATTGCTAATGTAATACTACGTTTTAATTATTTTACGAGTATATTAATATTTAACTACTATTAATTTCCAGGGTTCAATATACGACTGGGTTCAATACCACAAACTACATCATCAAGTTTTCGCTACCGAGGACGATCCTTACGATCATAACAAAGGTTTTCTTTATGGACATATAATCACACGTACGAGGAAATTGAGCCCCTACCAGGAAAAACTAAAGGAATCTATAGATATGTCTGACGTTGAGACGGATTCAATTGTTATGTTCCAGAAAACGTAAGTTTCTTCTCGCTTTTATTTGTTGATATGTAATTCTACATTTTTTTCAATCACTTACTGACTCCTGATAGATTATTTGGGACCTTTAAGTTTCATCCGTTTTACACGCAAACAGAGCTTATTGGTGATTCGATCACTGTAGCTAATTTATTTTATTACTCGAGTAGCTAACTATATATATACTTAATATTTTAGTCTTGTGAATTAGTGCTAATATTAAGTCACTTGTCTTGAAGATTTTCAGAGGTAAAGTTGATAAACTCTTGTTGAAAAGAGCAACCGGCAAATCATTGCTCATTCTTCTTCACTGAATCTTTATTCAGATTAAGTTTCAGAAAAAATATGAATCAATCAATTTGAATAAAGAATCTTTGCTATTTATTTGATTACAATGCAATATTAGTACCGTCGAAATGGTTTGATGTATCGTAAAATAACCCAACGAACCATAAGAACTTTGAAATAACAATAATACAATCGAGTTTTACCACATTTATCTTCAACGAATACTTGGCTGACATTACATATATTAATTAGGGTTTGTTAATTAAACATTCACTTAGAGATATCTTTGTATGTCTTTGAAATTTGTAAATGTTACTTTGTTTTCAAGTTATTCATTTGTATATCATATTTATTTTGTACATACATTTAAGATACTTTTAGTGAATGTACCGGAATATAATGTAAATAGAACTTAGATATTCATATCAAGTATGCCCCTCATTTGTCATAATAAATACCTACGTCACGATACCATCGTTCAAACTACTTATCTATTGGATTCTACATATATTTGATATACGAGTAGAAACTCAGTGATCCAAAACAAATTCGGGAGGGAATAGGTGTACGCAGGTGAACTATGCATGTAAATATTTCAAATATATTATATATACTAGCGATATACCCCGGTTACGCACGTATATTTCAATTATATACCTAAACCTCTCTTTAGAACTCACTTTGTGATAGATGAAAACCGCTTGAAAATACGTAGCAGTTTTTAATATTATCGTAGAAATAAACGCAGCGAGACGCGCTATTTTTCATAATATTATACATTTCTTGTTGCTCAACTCACTCTTCAGTCACTCCACTCTAGAAAATCCACATGATTTTACTAATATTTTCTATTATATTCATTAGAAACGGTCTCTGTCTATTTGTTAATGATCAAACGTCACGACTAAACGACTGAAGGAATTTTAATGAAATGTAAGATAGAATTATTAGACTATCATTTATCTTAAAAAAGCAGACAAAGTTATGTATAACAGTTAGTTTCTATTTTATTTAATTATACTCATACATACTCCTATGAACACGGATAAATTTAAATTCATAACATTACATGTGTTTGACTAAATATATACTCTATATATCTACTAACAAGATTCCTTCCTTGTTACAGGTTTTACTGGGTTTTATATGGCGTACTGTTTATTTTACTGCCACTAAATGCCCCTCTAGAGTATTGGGATGATACCGTGTTGAGCGCTACGTTTGTCATCGGATTCTTACGTTATGGCATAATACTTCATGCTTCGTGGCTTATAGAGAGTAGCATATCGGTATGGGGTCTCAAGTCTGGTGAAAAGTTAGTAAAATTAACATATTTTTATTATAACAGATCTACCCAGAAGAGGGAGTATTCATAGATTACGAAACACGTTAGGAGGGAGGGGGTTGGATAAAGTGTGTCATTATATAACAAGATGTTGAGGAGTTTGTGTATAAAATCATGAAATCTGAGAACCCTCTTAAGAAAGGTCTTAGATTTTGTGACGTAATATTCAATTTTAGTATTAATACATTTTAATTATTATTAAATGAAATTGTTGTGACATATATCGACCGCTGAATTATAAATATGAAAACAGGTAGCTAGTCAAATTGTGGAAAGGAACAACTTTGGCATTTAGTATCTGTTAAATTAGGTGGTAACTTATGTATATACCCCGAAATCTTGCTCATGAAATTTAAACTACTCACCTACCGGATGAAGTTGAAACATTAGATGCCTTCTGTGCTGAAGTATTAATTTTAGCTAATCTACTAGCAGAAACTTTTTAATTAATATCTTACTAATGTTATACACATTTAAATAAGGTTATTAACTACGAAAAAATGTTGTTTAGATAATTGCGGTCGACAGTTGACGCAATACCCATATTTAATTACGATAATGATTTAATTGATTATTATGAAATATTTTTTACAGATCACCTCCAGATTCAAACTCTGTATTTGTATTGAATAAATCATTCTGGCCGCACTACCACTATCTTGTACCGTATGACTACAAATCAGGGGAATATGGTACTTATGGTATGTTCTTTATTGGTTAATAATACAATAATTCACCCACCTAAGAGCATACGCTGCCAGGGCACCACTAAAGGATGATCAGTTAGCCCATCGTAACGAATTATGAATTTATCATGAGGGTTTTCATGAGGAACCGCGTGAAGTGGAATCTACCTAACATTTTACCACGTCAGGAGGACCGGAGGCGGGGAATAGTAATACCATTGCTAGCAATCAAGCTAGCAATGGTATTACTATTCCCCGCAACTGACAATCCCCTTCGAGCCATATTAGTTTATAATTAGAGTACACCGAATATATAAGTTACAAAAAAAAAAAGAAAAGAGAAAAGTGTATAATAAGATATTGAAGATACCGAGTCTTGCTCTACGGAAACATTCTTTAATATTCATCGTACTTTTCCTCTAGGGCACGCTCAAGATTTCCACCACATGTGTATACTCTCTGAATATTTACAAAACTTCATTACCTGTAGGCAAATCTCCTGTATAAATATATATAATATTTACTGGTACACCGCTTGTGGAATACAGGCCACTTATTTGTCTATAACCTATTTTATATGCTTTATATTTCGAATACCAAAATTCTATTCTAAATTGTCACTGCTATCTATTGTTCCTTTCGGTTTCCCTTTCTGGCCCTAGTTAGTAGTGTTTCTTTATAATATACTCTTATAATAATATATATATATCCTATAAATATATATATATCCTACAATTCCCTGGTTTCCTTTATCGCCCACACCGCTACTTTGTCGATGTTTAAACATAATACATAGTTTGTCCGTTTTTGTGATACAATCTATCTTTACGATTAAAGGTAGTAGACAGATAGACACACTTTCGCATTTCTAACGTTAGTATGTATAAGCATTTCAATAGAAACGATGTTATTTCTCAAATATTGTAAAGAAAATGCATTAGAACAACACTACATCTAATGCTAACTTTATCATTACATCTTCTTTCAAGTACTAGGTACATACTACATAATATAACTATGATGACTAACTGTGCTAGTTTAACTAGTTGTATTATATATGTATGTATCCACAATAAATTCGCCAATTCTCAACAGCTGATGAATATTTTTTCAGTTGATTTACGGCTAGGTTGGGTTCCGTACTATTATTATCAATATTGAAGTGTGTTTAATTTAATCTTAATTATATTTTTAATTCTAATAGTGACTGAAAATTATGTACAGATTCGGGATGTTCGACCGCTTTCATCCGGGTTTGGGCTGCATTGGGACTGGCCACGGATCTAAAGACTGTAGAAACTCTGTCTATTCAGAAAGCATTGGCAAAAGTTGTGAAAACCAAACAACCGATTGAGACTTGTTTGGAACAAGCCGTCGAAGAACAAGATCTATCAGAAGACCACTACCTCCAAAGAGGATTACGTTTAACGTAATATTAGTAAAATTATATACTACCTTTTATTGCTCAGTAGTTTATTTGCAAGTGTACAATGTAATATGTGTAGTTGAAGTGCGAAATAATAAAATAAAAAATTATTAAATACTCACTTCATTATACTCATCATTATTGCAAGCGCAATATAACCTACTGTAAATGTCTAGTATCGATAAGAAAAATAATTAATGGTCTAAACTTAATAATGCAAAGTGTGCAAGATACTAATAATAAAAAAAATAATATGACTTATAGAAAACGTTATCGTATCTACTACTATTACTATAAAAAGAATTTAATTTTTATTAGGAACATGAAATGAGGGCGACGAATTACTGCTTAGTAGATTACAAATAAATTAATAAATATTAAAATTTACGAACTGAATTCTTGTGTTAGGCTAAGAACAATAAAATGAATACGTTTTTAGTACACGTTCTAGCTAATGACTAGGTACATAACAAATTGATACCTATCAACCTGTATTTATAGTGAATTCATGGTCTTGCATCTACTTGTGCTTATTTGAATAAATTAAAAATACGGGTGAAGAATGCTACAAAACATTGACGCAATTCCTTTCTGTTCTTCCAACTGTATTCTGCAATACCTGAGAAATAAATGTAATGTGTCTATTAGGTTTACTATAAATAACATGCACACAAGGAAATGTTTCCCCTAAACCCTCTTCTTTCAGTGTTGTTTACTTTACGTATCTCCTTTATAATTATATATTCCGACGACCACAGTGGTCAACATGACGGAAAAAGTAGCATTCATGTGTATGATCGTTCGAATTGAATTGAGTGTTTTAAAAAAATGGAAGTATTTCTGTGATTTGCCTAGTACCACATAAATAAACATATACCATACAAGCACTGCATTGGTTGGGATTGCCTGCGTTATTATTATAGTTTTGTTTTAATCCATAGTCCACTTATTACTTCTTGAATACATTAATAATTTAAAACTACAAGTAATTACACAATATCGTTCGATCTTTAATAGGAGTATTAACATGAGGATTAATTAATTATCCACTGATTTAAACACTGTCTGCGTCCTAAAAGCATTTGTTTGTCAGCGAGACTCCATTAGAATGACGACCTGATTTCCCTAAATAATTTATCACTACAGAATCACTTTTTCATTGTTATTTCACTGCTAATTGACATACAATGCGACACATTGACCTCCTTCAAGTTGAACTTTAACTAGCAATTTGATCCAAAGAAGAAGATCCAAAAAATGCGTTCTACTACTAGACCCAATTATTTTTTCTACCAATTGACTATAAAGTAGTTTATTTGCAAGTGTAACATTTCTATAAAACTAAACTGGAAAGATGTAGGTACTGGAGGTTCAAATTAACCTATCAAGATTGATCGCGTGTTACAGCATAGAGATGCATTATTTAAAATAATTGTGCTTATACTATACTATTCCACATGTTATTATCATACAAAACCACATATATAGTTATACGATAGTCTGAAGTCAACTTAGTATGCACATAACATTTTAGACGGAATACAAAATAGAATTATCATAATTAAGTAGGTAGATTCTTATTATGTCGACTACTCAAAAACAAAACTACCTAAATGCTAATTTTGAAGACATAGTTTAATTTAAAAGTTACGTCGTCTAACAACATTTTCACGGAGATATTATAAGCTATACCACAGTATACATTTCTAATTTAACAATATAAAATCAAGATTTCATACACTAAAACTACAAATTATACGTAGTCCCAATAGATTTATAAAACAGAAATTATATTATTATTGTCTTGTCTTGAATTAACAAGGTTTTTTTGCAAATCGTTTTGAGTTATTATATCATTAAGATATATTTCCTCCTAGAGCGTGTGGTGTCGCTGAGCGTGTGGTGTCGCTGTAAGAATAGCACCACCCCCTCTCTTCCCGTGGGTGTCGTAAAAGGCGACTAAGGGATTCATCGACCAGTGGACGGGTAGCAGCGTCCTACTGAGTCCATCATACTGCGATCGCCAACCCGCATGCCAAGCGTGGCGATTATGGCAATATCCCCCCAAATGAATTTGCACCCAAGGCCCCGGCCCCCAGTCCCTGGCGGCCCCGCTAGTCTTGATCATGGTAGCGGTCATGGAAACGGCGGGGCAGGGGGTGCGAAGAATCTCCGGGTAAGACCAGGCTACCACAAACGACGACCACTGGCCCTGGCAACATACAACGTTCAAACACTGCGGACCGACGAAAAGTTAATTGAACTGGAGGAAGAGTTGAGCAGATTGCACTGGCATGTCGTGGGATTATCTGAAGTCCGAAGGAAGGGGGAGGACTCGATAGTCCTGAAATCGGGCAATCTGCTTTACTTCCGGGAGGGCGATCAACTGTCCCAAGGCGGTGTCGGGTTCCTCGTCCACAAGTCCCTTGTGAATAATGTTATCAAGGTCGAGAGCGTGTCGACTAGGGTAGCGTACCTGATACTCAGAATTACCAAACGGTATTCATTGAAGGTCATCCAAGTGTACGCTCCAACTTCGACGCACTCCGACGATGAGGTTGAGGCTATGTATGAGGATATCTCCAGAGCCATACATAGTACAAAGACTCATTATAACGTTATCATGGGGGACTTTAACGCAAAATTGGGCAAACGAAGCGGTGATGAGCTGAGAGTGGGGCAATTTGGTATCGGTGATCGGAACTTCCGAGGTCAAATGCTGGCCGACTTCATGGAGAAGGAGAACCTCTTTATGATGAACTCCTTCTTCAGGAAGCCGGAACACCGGAAATGGACGTGGATTAGTCCCGATGGTGCCACAAAAAACGAGATAGATTTCATCTTGTCAACGAGAAGACAGATTTTCAATGATGTCTCTGTGATCAATGCCGTCAAAATTGGAAGTGATCACCGGATTGTAAGAGGCACATTGAATCTGAATCTGAAACTCGAACGATCCCGACTGATGAAATCTACGCTCCGCCCTACACCTATACAGATACAAAACCCCGAAAGCTTTCAGCTAGAATTGCAAAACCGTTTCGAAAGCCTTGGTGACTGCGTTGACGTGGACGATTACAACAACAGGCGCGTGGAAACTGTCCGTGCGGCTGGGTATATAGCACTTCAAAACCCGCCGCGCAGAAAGAACCGGAAAAATATCTATCTCTACCCTCAAATTGATGGATGAAAGGCGAAGTATGGTCCTGCAGTCTCCGACTGACGCTTCTCAGTATCGGCAACTTAGCAGGCAGATCTCTAAGTCCTGCAACAGAAGAATCGACTCGTGACTTACGCCACTTTAACACAAATTGTGTAAAGGAGGCTATTGAGAGAAACAAGGGCTCAAAAGTCTTTAACAGGGATCTGGCTGCCGGACAGAGCCAGCTGACGCAACTTAAGACGGATGACGGCAGGATCGTTTCGTCTAAACCCGAACTTTTGAGGGAAATTGAGAAGTTCTATGGACAGTTATACACGACAACACGGGCACCTGTTAACAACACGGCGAAAGACCCTAGAGCCAAATTAACCCGACATATATATATATTTGAAGATATCCCGGACGTCAGCCTGTACGAGATTGGTATGGCTCTTAAACAACTTAAAAACAACAAGGCGCCGGGCGATGATGGAGTTACTGCTGAGCTTCTGAGGGCTGGAGGTAGACCTGTTCTACGAATCCTCCAGAAGCTATTCAACTCCGTCATCCTCGAGGGCAAAACGCCTCAAGCATGGCAAAGGGGTGTGGTGGTTCTGTTCTTCAAGAAGGGAGACAAATCGCTTCTGAAGAATTTCAGACCCGTAACACTGCTGAGGCATGTTTATAAGTTGTTTTCGAGAGTCATCACGAATCGTCTCGCGCGCAGGTTTGACGACTTCCAGCCTTCCGAACAAGCCGGATTCCGAAAAGGCTTCAGTACCATAGACCACATTCATACGCTGCGGCAGGTAATTCAGAAGACCGAAGAATACAACCTGCCACTTTGCTTGGCGTTTGTGGACTATGAAAAAGCCTTTGATTCGATCGAGACGTGAGCTGTGCTACAGTCTCTCCAGCGGTGCCAAATTGACTATCGATATATCGAAGCGTTGAAATGTTTGTATGAAAACGCCACTATGTCAGTTCGCCTCCACGACCAGAATTCGAAGCCTATCCAACTGCAGCGAGGTGTCAGACAAGGCGATGTCATATCGCCAAAGCTGTTTACCGCTGCGTTGGAAGATGTCTTCAAGCTTCTGGACTGGAGCGGGCTGGGCATCAACATTAACGGCGAGTACATCAATCACCTTCGATTTGCCGACGATATCGTGGTCATGGCTGAGACCCTGGAAGACCTTAGCAAAATTCTCGAAGACCTCATTAGAGTCTCACAAGGAGTAGTCTCATAAGGTCTTAAAATGAACATGGACAAGACGAAAATTATGTCAAACGTCCATGTCGTACCTGCTCCCGTAACAATCGGAGATTCTACACTCGAAATTGTCGATCACTACGTATACTTAAGGCAAACTATCCAGCTAGGTAGATCCAATTTCGAGAAAGAGGTCAATCGTCGAATCCAACTCGGATGGGCAGCGTTCGGGAAGCTCCGATATATCTTTTCGTCCAAATTTCCGCAGTGTCTCAAGACGAAGGTTTACGATCAATGTGTGTTGCCAGTGATGACTTACGGAACAGAGACGTGGTCGCTAACTATGGGCCCCATCAACAAGCTCAGAGTCACTCAGAGGACAATGGAGAGGGCTATGCTCGGAGTTTCTCTGCGTGATCGAATCAGAAATGAGGAGATCCGCAGAAGAACCAGAGTGACCGACATAGCCCGAAGAATTGCGACTTTGAAGTGGCAATGGGCAGGGCACATAGCTCGTAGGACAGATGGCCGTTGGGGCAGTAAAGTCCTCGAGTGGCGACCACGGACCGGAAGAATTATAAGCAGCGTGGGAAGGCCTTCAGCAAACATTACCGACGATCTGGTCAAGATCGTTGGAAGGCATTGGATGCGAGCAGCGCAGGACCGATCGTCGTGGAGATCTTTGGGGGAGGCCTATGTCCAGCAGTGGACGTCTTCCGGGCTGCGATGATGATGATGATGATATTTCTTCCTGAGATCTAGATGTAGACAAATTATAATCTCCAAAATATAATATTTAGGTACCTATACTAAATTCCAGGCTAATTCTATTATATAGGAGTATTTACTCCTGTATTATATTATTACAGGAGTATTTAACTTACTTTGAAAGTAGAAACATTTAGTAGATGTTAGTTTGTGCCAAGTTACTCGTAAAATCATATAAAAATCTAAAATTATAATCCTAATTCTAGTTTTTTAATCTTCTATTATGAATTCTTGATAAGCTCTATTATACTTATGAATTAATATTCTATTCATTGTATATCTTGACGTTACAGAACTTCATTAAGCTTTTAATTTAAAGTAAAAATAGGTATTATAGAAAATAACATTATTCACGACTGTTATCACAGTAGTCACTGTTAAATCAGATTAATTTGCTTTGTTATAGATGATTACATATCAACTATAAAAAAGGGACAACTATAATTAAACTGGGGGGTAAGTGGGTGTAAATTTACACTTTTTTTAATTTGATTTTACGTCCTTTTAATACAAACAAGCTAGCAGCCCACATAATGGTAAATGGCAACCGAGGTACAAGCTTCCTTATTCTAAAATTTCACTGCCATCTCTCACCCTTCAATACAGCTTATAGACCAAGCTGCTTGGCGTCTAAAATATGTGCGACAGACGTACTTGTAAAAACGACTTTTTCAAAGTCTACGTAAACCAACGATATGGTCCATGTATAGTAACCAGATACTAGCCTAATAGTGTAGCAGCCATAAGTCCAGACACGATGAGTAAAAGTGCAGAGCGTACATCAGTAGCTCTGGCAGATGCAAATCCAGCAGGCGGGTCGCACTCCGGCATGGACGGCACAAGCGCCGACTCCAGTCGCGCTAGGGCACCGTTACTACGCAACTGCAACAAACTATCACTAACTTTGCTTAACTTTATTTATGAAAACAAAAGAATGTAAGCTTAGTCCGTTAGTTAAAAGGTCAGCTGCGGTTACAAGCCAGCAGCCATACACTCTTATCGGAGGGTGGAAAAGACCCGAGATGATGATGCAACTGTACCAAACTGTCGCGTTTTTAAATGTCTTTCATCACAACGGTCAACAAGCGGCCACTCTAGACGTATGGAATAAGAAAAAGATAATTTCGTCAATACAAAATGGATTTTCACGATTCTTCCCTTTAATCACACAATTAACCACATGGGTCCCATCTATTTTTTTTAATCGAGAGGTTTTTATAAAAATCTTAAATTAATTACCATTCTCTTTGATAGCATAAATGAACATTAAAATAGTATAAAATATCCTATGTACATAGTGTCTATTAATTTAAGAAGTGAACTATTTACGTATGTAATTTGGTTCAAAGCCATGCAGTCATTAATCATGATTCCATAACAAAGTTAGGACTCTTTTGGCACTATATTTTAATAAAAGCAGGATTGGGTTACCTTATTAGTGTGGGTCTAGCGTATGGTGATCGACGTGGCAGAGGGAACGCCAACTGAGCACGCGTCGAATGCACTGGTAACTCTCGTACCGCGCACCGTCCGCGCGCTTGGCTCAAAGACCTGTCATAATACTTAATTCTTTATTTTTATTCTATAGATGTAATGTATGTATAGCATCACAACTGTAATCCCAGATGAGGTAGTCAAAGATGTTATAAACTATTGTCGAACGCAATATCGATTTGTTATTAGTATTTCTGCAACAGAAGAATCGATCGGAAATATTAAAAGACAATAAGATGATTGTCATCGCCCAGATTCGAACTGGCAATCATTGGAGCCAGCCAGTAAATAAGGGATGTGAAAGGCATGCAGTCTATAAAATAAATGTATTGTATACTTCACGTCTCATGCATTAAATATATTTATGCTTAGTCAAGCACAAAGGGTTCTATAATCGCAAGCCAGTTAACCTTAAAGTGGAACGAGCTGCTCTCTGACCGCCAAAAAACGCGTAGTCCTGCTTCGCCGCGCGAGCTAACCCTTCCTCGGCCGATGAAACTAAATTCTCAGCGTCCGAATATCCTCGAATATAGAATGCGTTTAGTTGTGAATCTTTTGTAGACTAGAAACAAAAATATGCTTGATTATTATCGCAATACGAGTATACAAAACCCATGTCACGACCACTATCTACTACCGTAAAACGGTAGGTGCTTACGTGAAGTAATAATAATATTAAGATAAAATATTTCATCGTATTAATAATGTCATCGGATATATAGTTAATATTACCGTCCTATATTTATATATGTATATATTTGTTTATACAATAGTAATAGCACAGATAACATAATATTATAGCGATACGTACGTCTATGCCTATCATCTCAAGTAGTATAATAGAAGTCTTTAGCAGTAATTTCAATTGATACCACAATTATTACCATTAGATACATCTGATCGGCTCCGTTCCTGATGTACCCGATCTTGAAGTTAGGAGAATGGAGTACTGCCGCCACAGTATCGACACTGGCCACTCGCACCGATAACACTGAAGTGATAAACGCGGCATACGCGTTGTATGTCACCACAGCAAACAGCAAGCACACTATTAGCAATATACTCGATGCGGGGTTTGGAGGAGTCCAGTTTCCACCTTCAAATTTATTTGTATACTTATAAAATTGTAATGACAAACATGCTGATAGCCCATCTGATGAAGAGCGGGAACCACTTTGTTAAGCTAATAGTATCACTAATTGGATGCTTGTTTTAATTATATGGCCTGATAATTTAAATAAACCATTAAAAATGAGAATTACTTAAAAAAATCTGGATCCATTCGTTAGTGTGATTCATTTGACATTTGATACTCATTTACCGAGTTAAACTTTGTAAAAGTCATTTTCGTAGGCACCAACCGCTAAGCTTACTTTGTAACCTATGTTTTGAATTGTAAAATAAAGCAGTGGAATTACAAGATAAAAGACATTAGGCATCGCAGGTATATAGGCGGTGGTTACCACTTACCATCAGGTGGCGGCATTTTTTGTATTCCAAAAACATAAAAAAAAACAAATCAAAACATTAATAATAAATCTACTGTCTGCAACGAAAACAAAATATTTTTATGCTTTTATTGATACATTTATTAATTATGCTTTTTATTACCTGCCTACTACATAGTTTCTTGCAGATGGCTTATCATTTATTTTAATAGTCTAAAAAATTAAATCATGTGTATTAAAAATAATATTTAAAATAAATATAAATACAACTCCTGTATTTCTAATATTCTCTTCATTTTTAGACATTGAAATTTCGTTTACGAAATACCACTGTGAAATTAATATTACTTACAATATGTATTTCCCCTTATTTGGCATCGTTCCTGTACATACTGAGAATAATATTAAAAACACTCTTTTCTATCACATTTCGACCCATCAATTCCCCATCAGTATTTCTCATTCACGTTACATGCTTCATCGAACGGGTAATTTTTTCTTATTGAAGTAACGTGGTGAGTTGCCGCAAAATAAAAAAATAGTTAATTTTTATAAGTAAAATACAGAATATATCATCCGACATACGGTTTGGACTTGTTTTCCGTGGACATTATTAGGGATTTTGAAACTAAATTAATACAAGCATTATAAGTCCTCACATCTTTACTAATAGAATAAAGTTTATGAGTGTGTATGTTCAGATTAATCTCCAGTAGTACTTATTCGATTTAGAATTTTTTTATAGTGTTCGATAGCTCATTAAGACTATGACCGCGCAAGACTATGCAGGCTATGTGACATCACACTACGACTAGGAGCTGAGCTGTAATGAAACATGTTGCAAAGACGTGGAAAATATGAGGAAGATTTTTTATTTTTAAATTGTCCAACTTTACGTCGTAATTGGGCAGCTCTTAATGAGAGGAGAACAATTATAAGATAAGAGTAAAAATTTAGGGTCCAATATCACTATACCCCCAAAATAAACATTACTTAAATTTCTAGTTTGTTTAAAGTTATTTGACACTAAGCACTACTTTACTACGATTACTTACTTACTTTACTACCTACCTTGTTGACAAAGAATTCCTGTAGACCAAATCAAAGCCTCAGTGTAACCCATAGGGCGCTCTCTATTGCGAACAGATGGTGCAACTTTACTAATCAACACAACAGCTAAAGAAGCTACCAAGGCCACTGCCACAACACAAACCACAAGCCGGGCACTAAACGGAGCGAGAAATATATCTCTAACAGTGGATGTCTCCTGTTGCCGTATATAAATATTGCACCTGTAAACATATATAGTTGAAAAAATTTGCAACAAAGGTACTCGTAAATGAAGCTTCTGGCTTTGACTCTCATTTATCACCGTCATCATGAACCAAACTCACCAGCATTGCCACTAAGAAAAGATTTTGCATAATAAGAGAATGACAATCATTAATAATCTGACTTTTTTGCTGCAAGAGCATTTACGATAATAGTACATATCTAATGTAAAAGATTACTAAAATTAAACCGTAAATATTTATAACAGTTATATATCTTAACTGTTATTATAGTATAAGTATTATTATACCAACCTAAAATCAAAATAAAATAGTCTACTGAACCATATTACAAACAAACAATGTGGAAATATTTAAATTATTTTTAATTTTATATTAAAGTAGCGATCTGCCTAGCCTAGCCTGTAATGATACATTTAAAAAAAAATATGCTTTTCAGAAACTACAATTTGGATATATTTTTATACATATATAAACCTAGCACTTGAATAACCTTATCAATTAACATAGTATTTAAATTCGTTACTTAGTTTAAAACAACATTATTTTATATGTAAAGATTATTCTTATAACCGCCAGGTTTTTAAAAATAATTTACAGTTTCCACCTTACGTCTTGGGAAAATTTGTTTAGTTTCATGAGTGGGTACTATCACTTTTATTTTGATATATGTAGGTACCCTTTTTGACTAACTATATATAGGCCGCAAAAGAAAAGGCCTTTCAGAGAGCTTAAGGAAGATGAAAAAATAATACAAACTATGATAAAAGTACTTTCTGTTCAAAGTAAATACCTACGTGTGATGTTAATAGCAAGGTGGACACGTACTTATCTGTGCCGAACGCGTGGAGGAAGCAGAGCGAGGCGAATTTTAAAATTATGTGAAATTTCTATCACCAATGAGCATTGATGCGAATGTATTGCATACCGTGGTCCTCTTTTTTTTTTTGGTGTTGACAAATAATGTGTCAACTGCCCATTGGATAATACGGAACTATACCTATAGAATATTACCGTGTAATACGATCGCAGTGTCAACTGTCCAGGTTTCTTATTATTATAGCTTTATATTCTGAATTAATGCAGAGCAGTTAAGTAAGATTTTAGATAATTGACAACCTATTATGTATAGACAATACCTACAACCATTCTGATTTTTACTTTATAAAATGCATATCCGTACTGTATTGGCTGCCTGTTGGTAGGTATACGTAAAATAATTGTTTACATAAGCTGAGAACTGACTTTAATGCCAGTTTGAGCGGAATTTTATTATGAATATGATCAATAAATTACGATAAGGTTCTTTGTCAGTAGACCCACATAAATTTGGCGAGATGCCAATTAATATATTACTAGATCACTACATTTTATAGAACAAAGTTCACCGCCTTGTCTGCCTATGTCATGTACTTTGGCAATAATCTTAGATACTATACTGTAAATATTTCTTTAAGGTTTTAAATAAGGTCTTTAAATAAGACAATGATAGCTCAACAAGTCGGAATAAGTTAAACTACCTGATTGGGTTGCCTATTACTCATATTGAAATCCATGAATTATAATAATCCAACTAATAAATATTTGAACACAAATCAAAATAGAAATCCGATACAATTTACAAGAGACAATATTGACTTGAATATTTAAACTTGACACTGAGCCCAAATCCATGTAATTCCATTTTTAAAAAAGAAAATACAAAACTTACATTGTCTCCGCTATAGGAAATATGAAATCCATATCCTGGTGTCTTGGCGCATCAGCAGTGACGGGCTCCAGGGCGATATCGACGGAGTGGTCCAGAAGAGCACCCAGAAGTCCAGTCCATGTGCCTTCATAAGTACGGAGCCCGAGCTTACTGTAGTACCGACTCCGCGACCTGTTTCCCATAAAAAACACATATATTACATAGCATACGAGTTTTGAGTAATATTCTGTTAACAAATTTGATTGTGGATGAAGGTTAAACAGTTGATAAAGACAAAAAATATCAAATAGTTATAGTGAAATGAAATTCCTAATATATGTGTCCTAAATAACTATGTTCAATAGGATTTATTTTAGTCTTTTCTAGAATAGAATAAAATTATGATGATGAATGTCCGTTAGTTATTTTATTTCTTGATCTTGAAATATGTAATTAATAACCTTATATTTCTAAACCAATGTCATTAGATCGTAATTAATTTCCAGGATAGGCTGGCTGAATGTTAATAATTATAAATTTAACTAGGAACTAATTATTATGTAATAACGAAATTTTTATAATTGTTAAAAATTAATCTCAATTAAAATTATAAACGCGGAAGTTTGTGAGTGTGGATGGATATGATATGATTGTTACTCCTTCAAACACACGTAACTGAATGGATTTTAGTGAAACTTTATAATAATCTAGATTATACTTCAGAACATTACATAGGCTATAAATTTCACGACGATGAAACAGTGCGCACAGCTAGTAACATATATTTCTACAACTTACGTAGAATTGAGACGATACGTAAGGAAATGTAGTACATCGTCTAGTAAAGCTGGCGCTGATGGTTCATCATCTTCCAAGGAAGACGACCCGTCTCCGGTCGAGTTACACCTGCCCACCTTCAACTCCTCGCCGAGAAAATTACGAGCTTCCACTGGGTAAGGAACTTCAACTGCGGACATGGACTGCTCTCTGTTCCAACAACCTATACAAGAATTATAGTCTTCTAAACATTTCTGATGCATTTTTATTATACTACAATGGTGAGGATGAATTTCGCGTTAATGAGGAAGGAAGAAGGGTGTGTTAGTCACCCATATTAAATTACAAAGAATTTAGCCCGGTATATTCTTATATATTTTTAATTTATTATAAATTAGTAGATATTTATTTTTTCCATGGGTGTCGTTAGAATATTATTCACTGCCAATGACACAAAAAGATGTCAAAAATACCGAAAATATTACATAATCATGTACACATGCTAAATTGTCTCTTTTTTTTAGTTCAGTAAATTATATTGATTACCGGCTCGACGAAGAAAATCTGTTTAAGCAATTCTTTTATTGGCATGTTCTCGTAAAAACCTAATAAGCTACAGTGATTACATTTCCCCCAGGCAGTCGGAACGCGTACTTTTTTGTGGTTAGAAAATTGTGAGAGAAATAAAAAGTATTTTTATAATTAATTGCAATATCGAGGAAAATCCCAATAATCTGAAGGAGCTGATATTCCACCCACCCACTGAAAACAGGTGGTTCTCAATTAGACGTCATTTTTTGTTATACGATACGCATTGTGCTACATGATATGTTCGAACGAAACTAAAAGGGTGTCGATTATTTTTTTGCAATCGATAGGGTTTGTTCCAAGGTTGGACTACAGTCTCTCACAAATTGGATATCCGTTTAATTTGTAGCGTATCCGGTCTATACTTGTTAATGTTTTTTTCTGCATTTCAAACTACGCTCTATTGGAAAACGGAGAGTATTGAAATAAACTTGTCCTGGTTTATTAGGATTACTATAGTGTCTAATAGTATTTATACTTTGTTTTCACAAAAATCCGATACCGACTATGACATTATGACTGTAACTAATCTCATACAATATGTGTGTATGAGATTTATTTCATTATCTATCGCTGCAATTTATTTTATATTTATATGAACAATTGAAAACAAATTATATCATTAATTGACGTAAGTTATAAGATATTCCAATTAATAGATAGTACAACATATAAATTATATAAAATACACAAACCTAAAAAATGAGCATAAAGTGTCGAATTAATTTTGACTTTGAAATACTGAACGACGTACAAACGCATCTCGTTTTTCTCATAACGATTGCCTACGCTCCAACACTTCTTCGATTGTAGCCATAACGAAAATCTGCTTATATTCGTCATCTCAAATCTTCTAGAATAATTATAGTTAGCACAACCGGACTGCAATAGAGGCACTAATCTACCTGACTTCTTGATAACTTGGTTCCTGGTAAGGTTTTTAAATCTATCCGATGTGCGATAGTAATTTCTTTCATATTCCGTTTTAATACATTCAAAACGATTACGTGAGCCAGATCGACATTTGTAATAATCGTGTTCATTGTGAGAAATTCTCAGGTTCCTGTTAACATATTTATCTTCATTGATTTTATAGAAGAAATTAGCATCACATAACCCTAGAGAGTCAACGTTCTTCCGGTAACGGTCAGATGGGTATGCCGCTATGATATTCTGATCGAATCGAATCGATGTTGCATTCAGTATCTCATTGACATATTTAAGATCCCGTTCCGATCTTGTAGCAATCAACCAATCGTAAGCAGCCGTATTCATTTCTTTTTCATGTAACTGTAACAAAATGTATGAGGTAAACATGACAGAATTCAGTGCACAAATAAAATACAGAACATTCTTATCACTATTAAATTATATCCTGATCCTCCGTGACAGCACTAAGGACATAAGTTATAACATATTATTCGTACGTTATGACAAAACAAATTTGTTTTGTAATATATCGAGGTTCATAAATCAGCGTGTCGGGCGCCTACCACCGTTACCCGCAATCGCTGGTCATTGTTATAAGTTGTCATTTTTCCCAGCATATTTTCTAAGCTAATGAAACCGTGAAAACAATTGCAATAAAACATTTTTTTTAAATAAATCAGTGGTATGATTCTATACCTTGCCAAGGACTGGAAATAATCTTGTCCACCACTAATTCTGGTCAGACAGTAAGAACATAATTACCTTAGTCATCAGGATTAACATGAGGTCTTGAACAACGCTAAATATACTATACCGACCAAATACATTACGTATTTATACTATGTTTATTTGTACATGTTTATTTGCTTAGTAACAATTATTTCTATATTCCAGATGGGTTAGCTGCTCTTCAAAAATTATTCAATTTTTGTTCAACAATAATTTTTGTATATGAGCATAAAATACTCTCTATAATGTTGACAACTAATACTAATAATAATATTCCGTAATATTATATTATATTATAAGATTTTAGTTATTTTATAATTAAATAATCAAAGACATCTTTCTACATCTACTTACATATTAATTAATTATATACAATACAATAATCTAACCAGATGGATATGCGAAACTTTAAAGTTTTCTTTTTAATTATCCTATAGAATTCAGAAAAGTGTCATCAAAATCTCAAATTTTGACAAAGTTTATTTTCATCAGGAATTCGATTGAACATTATCATTAAATGAGAATAGAGGTGAATTTGGAGTCTCTTTATTTCTGATGTCGGTAAAATTACGAGGGCAACTACGCAAAACTAGAATTAGTTTTAAATTTGTCATCATTGTCTAACGTTGATTGAACATTGATTGATGTCACCACAGTAGTAACTCCTGTTTTACTGGCACTTCCTTATCAGGATTCATAACTAGAAATTACTTTTATGCGTATCATGTTTCAGTTACAGTTTCCATATTTTCTTCTGTCGTTCTTACCCTTTACATCTATTTACATTAATTCTCAATTAATAACCAAAGATAAAAGAAATACCTTTTTAATTAGTGTATTGAGACCGCTCGTATCATTTAGCCGCAGCCGAGGCATAAGAATAACTATACCAATACGCGCTTGAATCCTCACAGTTCCCATTGCATTGACCACAGAAGCGACCCCGTTTACGGCCAAACATTTCATTAGTCGGACAATTGCCCATACACAACCTTAAACAAAAATATCATGTATATTTTTTACCGTTATCTTGTTATCCATCTAAACGAAATGAAATCGACTAGTTGCATAATGCATTCTAGAATATATAGTTGGTTTAAATCTCTTTTTTGTGTGAGTAGAATGGCAAACGAGCTTACAGCCGACTTAATGGCAAATAGTAACCGTCCCCTATACATGAATAGCACCATGCGTTGCCACTTCTCATGTTTCATGTCTACGAATCCCCTATCATATTACCAAAGATACATATTTATTATCAACGGTATGTGGGTAGAATAAAAATTTCCACCCATAGCTGTTTTAAATAGTGTATTAAGTATTTTTTCCACAAAAAAAGAATCTGTTATCGGAACAAACTTTTATCAATTGCAAAAAGACTCATCAAAAGCGCTACTGCAATATGACGTAACATATTCCTTAACTTTGACAAAAAGGTACCTCAGTATTGGTACTGTATATGTTATGTCAATATTATCATTATTTTGACATAGATATCATTTCAAATGATGATTCATTAATTGATATGACCTTCTTTCTGCATGTATAACAGAGCAAAACTAATGCAACTTATGAGTAATTATAAAATCCGATAATACGTTCGGTGAAATATCTTCACTTAATGTGATTATTTGTAATAATTTATCCATAAAGTAGGTATGTACGTGACGAAGGATAGTTTAGTAAAAAGGCAGAAATCGCCGAAGGCACGTAGATTTGCAGTGAATCGAGAGACACGATCCGGTACAGTTTTACATTATTTTCACATTTTAACATTGTCTACTCTTTTTTTTATTTCTAGTTCTGTGGTGTTTATATATTTTTATATACATTATATTCTACACCAAAGGGAGAAATTCAGTTTTCTGGTAGTCTATGACCTTCAAGTAAGTAATTAACTTTATGATATTCAACAATTCCTTTATATTTGTATTTACTAACATATATTGCACATTATTGTATCTACCTCGCATAGGTATACTTTAAGTACTGTCAATAAATAAGATAATTTAATAAAGTTGTAATCGGTATTAAAAAAACTCACAAAAGCATTTCGCACACGATATGTCCGTAGGGACAACAAATGTACAAGATTAAGTAAGCTCGAATTCGAAGCTTCGAATTTATATAACTGAATAACTTATATTATTTATTTATTCCTCTAAAGATATTTGGATTTGGACTCTTACACCCGGACAGATATTTCTTTCGCACGAGGAAAACTCGGCTGTCACTCTATTGAACAACGATTGTATTTAATTATACGAATTTGACCTTAATTGTACAAATAAATCAAGCTTATATTTTAATACTAATTGAACAGCAGCAGTAACAGTAAAAAGACATGTCTCTGTCACTGTTTCCTATAAGTCTAAGATAGTGTTAGGGGAAGAAATCGCAAAAGCAGGCCTGGCCATAATGATAAGAACAGGCTCTTATGAATAGTCTGTATCCTGCAGTTGTTAGTAATAGATTGTTATGGCGGTTATTATTGTGGTAGTCGGTCAGTATAAGTTTTTTTTCTACAATTAAGACGACACACTTTTACAATATAGTTTTTGTCACACCACGATCGATGTTAGGTATGTAAATGAACGTCTGATGCCATCCTCGCCAAATAGCATGATCCACTACATATGGGAGCGGGGCCAGTGCATCATAAGGGCAGATAGCTCGTATTCCAACGCTAGCAAACAGAACGATGAATAATGGTATAATCTTCATGATCTGAAAATTAACAAATGGCGAGTCCAGGGTAACTGTTATAATAGCTATCTAATTTAAATTAATTCCAAAAAAAAATTATTCCTAACAAAATCTGCATGGAACTAAGACGAGAATAAGCCTGAGGAATTGCAAAACAAAAAAGATTCAAATCGGCATATATAATTATGTAAGATAGCAATAACGTAGCATTAAAAATGAATATTTCTTAAATTACTCAGCATATTATTTATGTATTATGAAGAAAATATGGCACTCATTATCTTTAAACCCGAAAATTAAACTTCTATCACTTATTCATGTCCATATATAATTTAAAAACTAAAGAGGCATCTAAGCCTCTAATTATTTTAATTGTACGAAAAAAAAACCTTATCATTATAAACGTATTTTCTTCTGAATATTTCATTCTAAATGCCTGTTAATGGATATTATTTTTGAAATCGATATTAAAATAATACTATTTATTTTAATATCTATTCTGCTTATTATATTCTAATTACTACAACATCAATCAATTTTTAATAGATTATACAGACATACCTTCAGTAGGAAATAGGTAATAAATCTAAACAAAATCGTAGGTAATAAGTGCTTATGAAACCGTATGCACGTACATACAACTTATGAAAGACTACGTCATCCCTGTCCGGAAAGATACATTGTTACAATCATTAATTACCTCAGACTGAAAGCATTGTACCAATCAAAATATGACATGTCAACCTATTGAGAATACCTACGTGTATTTCGAGAACCCTACTTCAATTAATAGTAACAAATGGAATGGATACTGTTGTTAAATGGAGAGGTACAACCAGCATATTTATTCACACTTACATAATTGGGAAATTATGTCTGTATGTATTTATTATTGCTCTATACATAGTCTTAAGATATATTCCTATTGTTTCCTTTAAATAAACTTTTGTTTAGCACCGAAACTTTTGGTACAAAAGACAGTGTATTGTTATGGTTAATACGCTAGATTATGTAGATACAGTGATTACGGTACTACACCTTCATATGTATTATTCTTGCAATTTTTATCTAATTTATTTTCGCTTATAAAATGTTTATTAAAATTAAAATATAATCAATACATAATCAAGCGTTTTAATCTCTTATACCTAACGTTTGTAAACAAAAACGATTCCTATAATCTAATTACAACGTCCACCTCATAGATACAAAATCTATACATATAATTGGATGGCGGATTCCTGGGATTAATATAGGTATGTTTGTGTATTACTATAACGTTATAAATTACATTGGCCATTGTACATTTCATACTGAAACACGCACGGACGGCCTTCAGAAAAATTACACAAAATTTCACTGTATCTTCATAAACATGCCGTCTCCCTCGGTATGCTTTCCCTTTCAACGCTATTTTATTCTTATTCTCGCAGATATTTGAAAATATATGAGTTATTATGAAGTAATTATTATTATTTTAAGTAGGTACAGTATAGTAAAATGTTTATAATAGCCAGAGATGGCAAAATATCAATACGTGATGATCTATCAGTTAGATTAACGCCATACAATAAATGAGACAATATATATCTGCGTGATAAAGATAGAGACTTTAAAAAAATATTTTAAAGTCCCAAATTCCGATCAATTTCGGCCGTTAAAACATACTTTGCAACTTGTCTCATAATTTAAATCGTTATTTATATACATATAGAGTATGTAATATTGTGCTATCTGTGGTTATAACCACAGATAACATAATATACATACTATAGTCAAAAATCAAAGTCATGTTATGCATCAGTAAAGCGGTTTATTCATGTCTACGCGTCAGTGCATATGTACCGTAATATTAGATAATATAGGTACATTAGCGGATTGCTGAGAACGCATTAATCGAGACACATATGTAGAGGTATCACAAATACCGAATATTTCAAACTAAGAGAATGTACATAAATCATTCAACGTTTGAATTTCCGAACTGTATGAGACATGATAAATTAAAAATTGGTAATAAAAGAATATAATAATATCTACGTATATGTATAAGTAGAATACTGTTTAGTTTCTTTATTTTTGCGTATAAAAAATGCTACTTACATGTATATATGTATATAGTTGTAATTATAAAATACACACTACTAATACACTTAGAATAATATGTCTACTTCATCTAAATTAATAAATTAGTGGTTACGAAAGGAAAAGAATAAAGAAGTTCAGCTAACATAGGATTATTACCAAAATAGGTTACGTAATATGTTTGATATATTTTGAATAAGGGTAAGTCATTGTAAGCGTAGAATAACGACGCGTAAAATTACAAGGGGCATCAAAGCGTATAGTGAGAAGCCGATGGCGCTTATTTATTTAGGCTTTATCTATCACACATACTTTGATATAAAAGCTGGACTTAGTGGTAGGTGGTTTCTCAGTAGGAATGATGGAGTAAATATGCACACACGTATATGTATCACATTATAGAGAAAAGTAGATGTTTATCGTAATTAAGTATGTAATGCAACTAAGTACGTGATAGTATGTCATTGTTTACAACTAGATAATTATAGATACAAGTAGATATAGTGTACTTATACTGTATACTTCTATAATATGTATTTTAATTGAAATAAATAATCTTACTGTTGGATAAAAACCCACACTGCACTTTTCTAAAATGTCTTCTAATACTATACCACATTTGAATCGTCTAGTGTGACAGATCGAGTGAATGAACGAACTAGATTTTATTTATATAATGAGAACGGCTCACAAGCTGATGACCCGCCTGATGGTAAGTGGTAATCACATATATGTATAAACAACACTAAGAACATCGCCTTATCATGTGACGTCCGTGATATAACTCATTGCTATTCCGTAGGACTAAGATGTCATGCCTTATTTCTCACAATGCAAACTTAGCTACAATGCAGAGGATTAGGTACCAGTTCGTTAATTTAAAGCCATTCCTATGGAATATAAACAGTATAAGCCTTAACGTGAGTTCCAGAATGCGAAGTAAATTCAGAATACAGGGATCCTAATAAATATAAATATTTTTCATGGAAAATGTTTTGAAAATTACGCAAGTACCTACTTACTTACGTTACATTAATGCAGATCATAATATCTAATGAAACAAGTAAGTTAATGATATTTTATATTTCTTTTCAGAAAAGCATTATGCCACTTTCAACTACGCAAACATCTGTAATTGAGGAAGACAAGCCTTCTCATTGTGGACAATGCAGACTAAATCACAGCAAAGACTGCTGCAACAGAAATAATAACAATGAAATTCAATATAAAGATGCACATTTCCAACTACTACCCAAAAATGAGCTAAAATTCGTCAGATTAATAAGAACTTGGGAAAAACACGCTGGATTCATAACCCCCATAAGATGGGTAAACACTTTACTGATCATATCATTTCATATTTTTACCGTACTATGGTTTAGCTACACAATGTTATATAACAACAAGCTTAAATGGCAATCAGTGTTATTTGGTAAGTACACAAACCTCCTAACTTATTTTATAATACAAACTAATATCACAAAGAGAATAGATTTGTTTCTTTTATATAATTGCTTACAAAACGTAAGCTTGGCGGCTGGGATAGGTGACACTGTATTACCTATACCAATATACAACCAAATGAGACAACATTTACGAACTTTTACTTTTTTTTTAATTTTATACACTTACCTATTATAGTTTCAACATACGCTATATAGCCGGGTCGATTATAGGGAATTATACAATTTGTGCATCATCTGATTATCACTATGTATATTGTAAATTTAAAGCTTTCTCTAACTATAATATTTATCGCAAATGATTAGATTTTACAAACCTATGTGCGTGACAATTAAGTAAAATAATACTCAATTACCTAAAACTGTATAAATATAATGTCTACATACTTCTACTATATATACTATGTAATATCCCAATATATCATTACTATATTACGTCTCGATATAACTTTCAGGATTCCTGACGGGTCAAATTGCGGGTTTTGGTGTAACAGCTGGAGCTCATCGCTACTGGTGTCATCGGTCGTACAAAGCCAAATTACCTCTACAACTAATATTGCTGTTCTGCTATTCTCTTGCTGGACAGGTACGTAATTTTATAATATTAAAAAAAAAACAGGACAGGCAATCGAACTCACAACCTATATTTAATAAGTAGCAACTATTGCTTATACAAATAAATTAACAATACGTCATGTGTCGCTCGTGGTACTTCTCATTGCATTATCATTATGAAAGACTATAGAATCATACCTTCATACCATGTAATTTCACTACCGTTATCTTATTCTTCAAGCGAAACACATATTACTCAGTAAGTTACTTTGCGACTTAAATACGTGAAATCGCAAACTACTTTAGGTATATAGTCTAACTCGATAAAGTAAATCACTCACTTCATTATTACATAGTATAAAACAAAGTCGCTGTCACTGTCGGTCCGTCCCTATGTATGCTTATCTTTAAAACTACGCAACGGATTTTGATGCGGTTTTTTTAAAGAAAGAGTGATTCGAGAGGAAGGTTTATATATATAATACATGTACACCCGTGCGAAGCGTGGGCGAAAAGCTAATATACTTACAAAACCTTATATGTACTAGAGACCATATTATACTGAATTGCATATTTCTTTACATCTTACAGTATATGAAGTTATGAACGTTCTTAACGTTTTCCTTATTCCTAATTAAAAATAATATCATGGTACTTTATAAACATTACCAGCTAAGAGTCCATTTTAAAACAAATGAAAAATATGTGACCTCGTCAAATACACTCCCCAGATCTGCCCTATTAAATTAGAGTAATTTTATGAAAATTAGCTATCTCCCTTTTAAAATGTAAATATAACAAGTTTCAGAATAACAATCCTTTAATGTTAACAATAGTTATTTTGATAATTATAAGAAATTATCTACTTAAGAATTAAATGCACAAAATAGTATTTCATCCTTTTTTATATACCTTCTGTGTTACATATTTCAACCGTCAAGCAGTTTGCTTTGTAAGAAGTGTTTCGGTTAAGTGGTGAAAAATTACAGAATATGGAAGCTAATATGTTAGTCGGAATGGCAAATGTGTTGTGCCACTAGTGTCACGTCATGTGATGCTCTATATATATATATATATATATATATATATATATATATATATATATATATATAGACCGCCTTTTGTGTAAAGTTATGTATATTCACCACTTTTTTTTTTTGTTATGTTGGTAATTGGTGTAACAAAGAGTAAAAAAACTACACAAATATGCAAAATAATAAGTTTTTTTTATTTACAGAATTCCATTTTCGATTGGGTCCGTGATCACCGGGTGCACCACAAATTTTCTGAAACATCTGCTGACCCACATGATGTCCGTCGAGGTTTCTTCTTCTCACACATAGGCTGGCTCATGATGAAGAAACACCCGGATGTGATTACCGAAGGCAGCAAGACTGATATGAGCGATATCATAAACGATCCCCTCGTCAAATTTCATACCAAGTAAGTATTTATTATACTAGAAAGAAAGAAAAGAAGGAAAATATTTTTTTTCTTAAGTGTTTATAATGTATGAGCTTCTATTTGTGACTATAATTGAGAGGATTCAAAAGAACTATTTAGCTCTTCTAGTTGCTACCAAGGACTTATTTTGATGTTTAAGGAATAAAATTTCATTAAGATCCTTTCAAATGCTAAAAGTGTGACGTTTTCATAGACAGACACGAATTTATTATATTAGTATAGATCACCTTCTCCATAATTTCTCCATACAACGTATATGCCAAATTTATAATAACAGTCAGTCAAATTGTTACACCACAAAAGCATAACTAACAAGTAAACAACAAACTCATTTACGCATTTCATATGTCATGCTTGATTTCCATTGGGATAGGCAGAAATAATGAAATGCCTTATACGATTGAAACAGACATTATTTGTTTAGTTTACATTAATAAATTTAGTAGAAATGCATTATTTCATTGCTATTTTTGATATTTCGTAATTTATTTCTGCAATACTGACAACAAAATAGTTACATTCATTTTGAGGAATACAGTTGTTGTTTATTATACTTATAAAAGACTAAAACATTTATTTCTTACAAAAATTGAATTTATAACATTTAAACAGAAAATATAAAAAATAAGATATTGTAGAAGAAAGTTTTTCAATAGATCTAAAAAGGCACCCGGATGTAGGTAGATTCGTAGGTACTCATCTAAATATTGTTCTTTGGGTCCGAATGTTTATTATTGTGGTTAGATGGCCAAAGTGAATCGCAAACAATTTATTCCATTTTCCTACATCTAAAAGAATATTTTATTCAAGAACTACGTAAATACATTTTTGGGGTGAATACAAACATTTCATAGGTAAGGTAGGTACGGTCAGCAACAAGTATTAGTTCATTCTTAATTTACAAAATACTGATAATTACAAACAAAAAATATTTGTGGTCTACAAGGTTCTTAGTTTAAACGGCCGACATTCAAACGTTATTGTAACTTGGGGTAGTTACAATAAGTTTTGAATGTCGATATCGGACTACTACTACAGATAATATTACATACTATTACTATCGTAACTATTATGTACGTATTTTGTATTTTAGTATTTTATTTTAAAAATGTTGCTGTTTTTTGCAGGTACTTCAATGTATTTAAAATAGCCATTTGTTTCGTATTGCCTACACTATTGCCAGTATACGGTTGGAACGAGGAGTGGAAATTCGCCGTCTTATCACAAATCTTCGTACGGTACATGATGAGCCTGAATTTCACGTGGTCTGTTAACAGCTTTGCACACATATGGGGAAACAAACCATATGACAAGTAAGAATACATTAAGACCATTTTCCTGTTTATATTTAGAATTATACCGAAGTAGCAGCTTTCTTGGTAACATGTGTTTAAAGGGTGAGACAAGGTAGTGAAATTATAGGATAAGAGGTATGGTTGGTATCACTAGTGTCACATGATAACGTTATGTATTTAGTACTGTTAATGAATATAGGCGATTCTTATCATTTATCATCGGATGGGCCGTCAGTTTCTTTGAAATTCCAATTAAGTACATTAAAAAAAACTTAAACAATTAAATTAATATGATTTATCGTTCCATCAGAAGAGTTAACCAATTAATAAGTCGTATATAATCATACGAGTACATTAGGAAGTATCACGTCCGTTATATTGTCATCGTCATACATAGATTTAAAAAAGGATAACTTAAAAATTATTCTATTTTTTGTATCACGTTATCTTATGCTTATCGGCATCTACATATGGCAGACTTAACACCATACGACTATAATATAAATAACATGATAACGTATACTTCTGTTATTTTAACCAGTATTAGTCTGTATTTTTTATAGTTGTGCTACGTAAAAAACTACTAAAATCTTAAATTTTGATAAGTTTCACTCTAGTTCGAAATACAATAATCCTCCTGTTCTGTCCTATTCCTTTTACATAGTGTAAATAACCAGCTTTCTTTACAGAAACATCATGCCGACAGAAAATAGAGGTGTATCGATTGTAGCCATGGGTGAAGGATGGCACAACTATCATCACACATTTCCATGGGACTACAAAGCTGCTGAATTAGCTTATTCTATTAACGTTACCACGATTATCATAGATTTTTTCGCGTATATCGGTTGGGCATACGATCTAAAAGTGGCGTCACCTTCTTTGATCGACGCGGTAGCAAAGAACAGAGGTGACGGGAGTAGATATGAAAGCTTAACTATACAAAATAAATACAATTAATTGGAATAATATAAATAGACATGATATTCGTTGAATGAACGTGAAGTATGGGGTTGGGCGTGGGTTGTGAGCAAGATAATCATATAGGTACATTCAGTGATGAACCGCAAAATAGCGGAATTCCAATTTCTACAGCGAGTAGAATACACTATACAATGTAATGTTTTTTTTATTTAATTATGGTTTTGAAATATGATTAAAACCTGCTATGTTTAAGGCTAATAAAAAATATAATGATATTGTTTTAAGAGATCTGTATAGTTTCTTTTCACTATTATGTTCATAATAAAGCACAAAAATGTTAAAAAAAATAATTATAAAGTTTGTAAATATGTATTGTAAATAAAAATATAAAGCCGCTATTTATCAAATAAAATGTGACCATAAAACATTTTTTTAAACAAAATAAATATATTTATCTTCTATAAGATATTATTAATTATTCTTGAAATACAATAAGTAAAATAATTTATTTATTGACTGTGTTCTTAATTCTCTAGTTGTACATATTTATAACAGATATGAGTGCATGTAAGTGATCACATATTAGTGACATTTATTGCTGGAGTAACTAGTAAACAACAAGAGCAATAAAAGTTCAAACTTCTAAATTATGCAACAGCTATCAAATGTAAAAAATATTTCTAAAATTTTAACATAATATATACCCTTAAATGATTACAATTTTGTTTCTTATGTACTTTTATTACTTTATTTTGTTTTTTTTTAACATAAAATAATACTTTGTCCACATATGAATGAATATTATTCAACCAATCTGGATACAAAAACAAAATCATACTTTAGCTCGCAATCTACTTTATACAATATATATAATTAATATATTATTTAGGCACCAATCTACACACCAACTCAATAATAATAGAGGATTTTTTTTTTATTTGGTATAAAATAAGGTGACTAAAACCATTATTTCTCAGTCTTTGACCAGTTTCAAATTATTATTCAAGAATAAATTCCATGCTATTACAATCTGCATCAGTTTTTGCTTCTTTAATGGGTCTCACATTCTCATCCTTGGATGTTTTCCTTTTCAAACTTAAAGTTTTTGGACCTACTACACTCTCACTGACATTGGAGTCACTGTTTGATACCTTCCTTTTCTTTGTTTTTGTGATAACAAAGTCCAAATCAGAAGAATCATCATCAAACCCTGAGTAAATAGGAACAGATCGACCACTTCGTGTCGATCTAATGGGCTGAATTCTAGTTGTCTCCTCAATAATTTGTATGGGTGGGGGCCACGTAGCAAAGGTGGCACACTGTCGTGCCTGGCGATAACTGTTTATAGACATTAGCTTAATGTAAACAGCAAGGGTGCGAGCTTTCTCTGCCTGTGTTATGGTACTGGGCAAGATACTCCAAGGCATTCGCCTGTCGCGAACATTTAAATACCTCCTTTTCATTGTTTTTTTCGGTGATGTACTGTTAGGTTCTGTGTCAACCTGGCAAAGTATATATTTATATAATTTCTAAACTCAGTCAGATTATTACAAAAAATATAGATAAAATAAATATTAATACTGAAAACAACATTCAGAGGTCAATATACCTTTCGTAATAATTCGTCTTCCTTAGCAGATGCCTCTGAATCCCTTAAAGCTCTAAGGAGATCATTCATTTCTTCTTTGGTTAAATTGTCTTCATCGAGGCCAAATTCTATAAGAAAATGTTAATAATATGCTTAGGTATTCAATGTATTATTCAATCATAATACAAAATATTTTTCCAACATGAAATTTAATAATATACCGGTCAATTGATTTTTCAATATCTTCATTTCAGAGTCGCAACTGTCGTCCGATGAGACTATATTGTTCAAATCATCCATTTTATATTTTAGTGCTTTACTTTTTTTACCAAAGCGACATAAAAAGTATTCTCTAATAGGATTAATAAATGTACAACATTTTTTACTCGTAATTTATTTCAATACAACCAAAAGCAGAATAATAACAAATAGATACACAACTACACAACAATAGCAAACTTTTCACATACAGCCGTCAGCAATCATTGTCAAAATAACAATGACAATGACAGTTTTCAGGTGACATCTCTGTCTGTCATTACGTCTCACAGAGTTTATGAAATGACGAAAAAGAGGAATCATCTAAATGATCTCCAAAAAATATTGTAACTTTCTTAGCTTCTGCTAATCGTATACGAATACGCAGATATCGGTCATAGAATTAAAAAAAAACATAAAATCTCTAAATATAGGTACTGAGAAGTGTTCCAGCAGAGCGACATCTTATTATCTACATTGTTGTACAAAAGTGGGAAAGTAAAACCCACAAAGGAAATAACAATGTACAATAATCAAAATAAATTTACGTCTTAAATTTGCTTAACGCACAGGTCCATAAACACACATACAGTCGTGACTAATATCAAGTCAGAAATTTATATTCAATTATAAAAAGAAACTGACATTGACAAATACATATTTTTATACGTATGTTGATTTAAAATGTAATACTCCCTTAACTAGACTGACTACGTGATTGAAGTTATTGACTGTCAGTTAATATTATAGTCAAAATATCATTATAAGTACTCTGTGATAGCATTTCAGTTAAGTCATATGTGCATGTCAAGTAAATTTTTCTTATTATTTTTTATTGTCGAGTATTCTAATGAAAATTTTATAAAATATTTAACATAAAAATCCTTTGTCTCAAAAAAAAACACAAAATATGCAATGTATTACTACTATTTATGAATATCCTATGAGTTAATTCAATATTTAATAAACAAAATGGAAGAAGAGTTACGGTGTTATGTTTGTAAGGAATTCTACAGAGAACCAGTATTATTACCTTGCGGTCATGCTTTATGTCGTGCCTGTGCTGTGAACCTGCAATGCCATGTGCATGAAGTAGAAGGTTCCACCGCTTCCAGTGATTATCAGGAAGCTGATAAAGCATCCGTTTCGAGTGAAACCGACAGTGGTGTAGTATGTGGATCAAGGCCAAATAGTTATGCGGGAACGCCTGCCGCCCCCGTATATCCAACGTCTTCATTTACTTTAACATGTCCTTTATGTAGTAAACAAGTGTGTTTGGACGATAATGGAGCCGAAGGTCTTCCACCGTTCCGTGTCATGCGGACTATTGTGGAGCGTTTTGGCGGGGTCACTGGTGCGCCGCCTGCCGAAGAGGCATGTCAAATGTGTGAAGGAGAGCGTCGTGCGGCCATAGTTCGCTGTGAGCAGTGCTCTGTGAGGTACTGTGCTGGTTGCCGAGATGCTTGGCATCCAACACGCGGACCACTAGCACAGCATGAACTAAGAACACTGGGTACCACATGCATTGATCATGGTTCTTTACCAGTGCTCTATTGTAATACATGTTTGCTGCCAATCTGTCAATGTTGTCTTACAGAAAGACATTCAACACATGAAACACAACCATTGTCAAATGCAGCTAGGGCTCATAAGGTAAGGAAAAATTAAATATGAACAGTATTAAGCATATATAACTCTACATATATTGTATTATGACTACCTATTTTGCAAGGTGTCTGTACCCTGTAATTTCACTGCCATATCTCACTTTCACTACATCATATAACTTTGTAAGCTGTTTCATGGTAGAAATATGTCCAACAGTGGTATCTATGCAGGCACCTTTACACATAAATAACTTAATGAAAAACGCAACTATTTCAGACTGAACTTTCACAATCACTGCAGCAGCTTTCTGAACAAGCCAAAGCTATGACTGAGTATATACAACTAGTCAAAGGAACAGGGGATAAAATGAATGTAAGTAAACATTACATAACTTTTAATGTCAAACATGGTTTGATGGAAAGATCAACTCTTGTGATTGAAATTGCTAACTGTTGGACCATGTTACCATTTATATAGAAAAAATAATTATTATATGTCAATACTTTTTTAAACTGTAATATGGGAATTATTTATACTAAGGATATATATAAATATATAAATCCTGCTTATTTGCAATTTGTTTATTTTTAAACTATTGTTCTACAACATGTCTTATTTAGCTTAAATATCCATTTCCATGTGATGAGGCTGGTCCAATGAATCAGCGCTTAGAAACTTTCTATGAAACCTTCCTCTAGTCCTCAAGTAGAAAAACACATACATTTTAATCACAGGAGTCATCTGAAGAATTAGAACAACAAATCAACCAAGCTTGTAGTGATGTGATTAATGCTGTGGAAGTAAGAAGAGATGAATTACTCCGTGCAGCAAGGAACACCCGGTCACAAACTGTTGCTAATATGCGTATGCTCACATCACAGGCAGCACAAAAGCTCCGAGAAGCTACAGCCTTACTGCATTTTTCTATAGAAGCGCTTAAAGAATCAGACCATGCAGCATTTTTACAGGTAAATAACATTTCTACTATGATCATATAACGTGTTTGTTATATTTTATAAAATAATATGTCCTTTAGTACTACAAACACAAATTTTTAAAAAAAAGTAGAGCTAGCATAACATATAGGATTTTTTTTATAGTTAAATAGTTTTAAGATAACATATCCACATAAAAAAAATAAGTTCACTTTATTTTGTGCATTAATAAAATTAACATTAACAGTGACATTCATCCTTTTTATAGAACCAGATAGCCAGTATTAATTTATATACATTTCATATCATCAAAACAGGCTGACCTAAAGTATACCAGAATTGTTTACAAAATGATAGTGTAAAAAAAAATCTCTATCCTATACTTTTATCTAATCAGATAACTGTTTGTTAGCAATCCCAAATCAGTTATTGTAATGAATTACTGCACACTGTTCAAACATAAATGTAATGTGAATATTTTTTTACATGTTCTGCTTTTAGTAAAAAATCAAAATAAATTATTTTAATATAGCTTTTTGAGTTGAATATTCATGTCATATAATATTTATAACCATAAAGGGGACGGATGAGAGACGACATGCAACTGAAATGCAAATGTTGAGATAGATGTGTGGTGTGACAAGGATAGCCAAGATAAAGAATGAATACATCAGAGGAAGTATGAAAGTGGCGCTGGTGTCAGAGAGGTTAAAGAGTAATCGTCTAACGTGATATGGGCATGTAATGCGTAGGAATGAAGATCATATCCTAAGGAAGGTGTTACATATGAATGTAGATGGTTATAAGGGTAGAGGAAGACCGAAAAAGAGTTGGATGGGCTGTGTGATAGATAGATGAATGGAAAAGAAAAGCATATTACACTGACCCCAAATAAATGGGATAAGGAAGAAGCAGATGAGATGGTGATGTAATATTAATAAAACTTAAAATGATTGTTTATAACTTTGTATCTGAAATTATAGTAATGTATACTTTTATTGTCAAAACTGACTAAGACTTACAGAATTTGATGAAATTAATTGATTTCTGATGTAATGATTTTATATGGATATGTATGTTTATTAAATTGTAATATTATGATTCCCAAAAAAAAATATCATGTCCTAAATTTATATAATATATTATGAGGACATTGCAACCTTGAAATCTTGTCAACACAAAAAAAATGTGTATAAATTTATATTTACTTTTCAGTGTAGAGACACTGACATCAAAAGCAAAATTTTGTCCTAATTTGTATTAATTTAAAACGTTCATTTACTATGTTGCTCTTTTATTATGTATAATATGTTTTCTTTCAAGATAAATGTAATATATTCTTAATGTAAATAGATTTATAATATAGATCATTGAAAGGCTCTGACTATCCCACCCAGGATAACAGTCGTGATGTTGTTTATTTTTGTTTTATGTACTAATCATTAATAGTCCTTATTTATTAATGCTATCTGATAATACACTAAGTATTATCAGGATGTAAAAAAATTGACCGAAAAAGATGACGACAATACATATTCCGTGATTTGTATAAAAGCCTTTATATACTAACTTATTCCAGGTGGGGAACATACTGTCAGTGCGAGCGCAGCAGACGGCATCGAAGCTGTGCTCGGCCGAGCCGCCGCCGGCGCCACCCGCGCTCACACTGGACACTGAGCCTGTGCTGCGCACCGTCCGCACCATGAACTTCATTGAGTGCATTCGTATGTTTTATATATTATATTCTTTGCGATATCACCTTCCCTCAGCTTTTCCAATAGCCCATTCTTGTATATATTACTACATCTGTAAAAGAGAGAAATGGTATTGTTTTTTACAATGGGTTCCGTTTTCGCTAGTAACAGTAGTAACATTGCACTACTTACACTTATTATTTACCTAAAAATTGAAACACTTATGCTCATCAAGTAAATGATCTGCAAAGACAATGTGAATGTAGATGTTAATTGCGATACTAAACGAGTGTTAACAAGTAGAAAATAGCATATAAAACTATTTACGAATAAACTTGAAGTAATGAATGCTCTTAGTCATCAACTGACTGACACTAATTTTTATAACCCTGGACAATTTACGTTGGGCTATCTACTACCTATAAGATGGCTTTTATGTGCTGATATGGGTATTAAACAACTGATACATATGCTTAAATACCTTTTTAAATATATATATACAAATGAGCATAAAAATAATATGTGACCAGGAGAGGGTTCTTACCCTCTCAGAGCATTAATTAGTTAAAATTTATGCTAACAAAAAACTAAAACATTTCGATTTAAGAGGTCATTAATTTTCTTACTGAACAACATCGTAATGGATTTTTTTTTAATACCATGGTTTATAAATACATATAAAATTGAGTTTTATGATTGCTTTCGTGGAAAACGCAGCACCGGAGATGGAAATGCGATCGGCAGGTATATCTATTTATCATAATGACATTTCATACTTAATTTTGTAATCTATTGAACCCTGAATAACTAACCTACATAAGTAATTGGGGTACCCAATCAAATATATGTTATTTTAAAATAATATTTAATTTACCAAAGATATGACAATAGTGTGAAATCTACTCATACGGTAGGAGACCTACCATTGCAAAAATGTAATTTGCAATGGTAGGTCTCCTACCTATGTTTATTATACATAGCGTAACCCCTGTTACAATTAGTAAATTATAATTATTGAATTAACTAACACCGCGTTTCTTACAGACATACTTGTTACATTGTGTATTTATTATACACGTACATAACCATACTTACAAAATTACACTCATATTATTTATTAGACACACGTTTTTTATTTTTATTTAGGGAAATATGTAGAAACTTAATTTAAAAACACGTATAGCAACAGTGCGACGGTTATGTGCGCAGCTCCGGGTGCGCCGACGCTGGCGGTGGAGGCGTGCGTGGCGCGCGGTTGTTCGTGCACGCTCGCATGGCGCCCCCCCGCGCCGCCCGCGCGCGCCGCCGTCCGCGGGTACGTGCTCGAGCTAGACGACGGGCTCGGTGGACCCTTCCGGGTGAGTAACGCGCGAACTGTAGGGCCCATGTAACGCCGCTCTACATGCTCAAGCTAGACTATGAACTCGGTGGACCCTTCCGGGTAAGTAACGCGCGAAATGTAGGAGCCATGGAGCGCCGCGCTATACCGTCCGCGGCTATCTATATTTTTAATGCCCAAAATATAAAAAGTGAAAGTAGATAAGCAGCATTTTAATTAAATTATTTTTATCACTTAACAGGAAGTCTACTGTGGTAGGGAAACAGTATGCACCATAGATGGTCTGCACTACGCGTCCCTGTACAGCGCGAGAGTCAAGGCGTTCAATGGCGCTGGAGAAGGCCCTTACAGCGAAGTAATTGGCTTGCAAACTTCACCTGGTAAAATATTATTACATAATACCTTAACAAACTTGTTTATATATACAACTATAGTATTATTAATTTGAGGCATATATGTAAGGTATCTGTTGCGGGTGAATAATAAGATGTTGCTGGTCAGACGATGTATATTACTGATGATGATAAACTGACAATGTGTACATAGAAATAATGATCTTATATACTAAATAACAATAGGAAAATGTAATTTCATACACAGTTTAGATACAGCAGTGCCTAGTAGACAATATTGAATTTGTCTTACTAGACATTATTAAATGCATTTATTATTTTATGTATCTAGGTGACTGTGTCCCATATTCCCCCCTTGAGAGAAAAAAATATATATATTACACACAAAAAAATGTTATTATAAAAATATTAATTATGAACAATATAAATTAATAAAATTTTTTTTTTTTTTACAAATTAAATCTCACTGTAGGATAAGATGTGCGTCCATAACGTGTCACTTTCAAAGGTCGGCTGTCATTTGCGAAAGCAATTGCTTCGTTGTTTATTATGAATGCTGGCTTGAGTCTATCTATTGACACATTTGTTTCTTTTTCGTCACGCTTGATTGTGAATACTTTTCCTTTGCGTTTGACAACCAAAAATGGTCCTTCGTATGGTGGTGTCAACGTTGGACGTAATCTGTCACATCTCAGGAAGACGTGTGAGCAATCCATTAAACGAGGATGTACAAATTGAATTAATGACATACGTAATGATTTATTCTTTTTGAAACTCAATGTCATTCTGTTGACTTTTTTCTTATAAGTCGATAACGGTTGGAAGTGATATTGTTTCATACTTGATAATGCATCGGCAACCGTGTGTGTCCGCTTACATATTATATCTGTACTGAATACATATGAAATCCAAGTATCTGATCCTTCTAAAACTTCCACCGAAGGTTTCTCATATTATTTATATTGACAATTAACCGTTTTTTTATTTTTATATATATTCCCAATAACTCCCTATCGTAGGTGGAGTATCTCGTTTGAGCTTCTGTTAACGATTTGGAGAAAAATGAAATTGGCTTCCATTCGTTTTTAATTTTTTGGTGAAGAACTGCGCCAACACATTTTAAGCTAGCGTCAGTCATCAATGCGATCCTTGCGTTCGACTCTGGAAACGTCATAGTTGTGACGTCACGCATGTCTTGTTTACATTGTAGAAATGCTTGTTCTGCTTCGATACGATAATTGTTTTATCGTTTTTCTTGCTATTTCTTAAAAATACATTGAGCGGAGCTTGATGCTTGGCGCGCGGTGCCTATAAAAATTCACCATGACGTAAATCTTTGACTGTCGTGGGTTTAGGGTAATCGTCGATTGCTTTTAGTTTCTCTTGTGTCGGTTTCATCCCTTGGCTCGTTATATGATAACCAAGAAAATCTAACTCATTTTTGAAAAACTCGCATTTGCTCATATTTATTGTAATTCCATTTTCATTTAAACGCGCGCGTAATGTTCCTTCTCGCGCTGGCTATCAGAATGTCATCGACAAATATAAAAATAAAGTCTAAGTCTCTGAATAGCGAATCCATAAATCTTTGGAACGTCTGACCCGCGTTTCTTAAACCGAATGGCATTCTTGTAAATTCGAAAAGTCCAAACGGAGTTATAATAGCGGTTTTTTCTGGCTCTGCAGGGGAATGAATGATAAGCGCGTCGATTTTGCTGAAGATGGATTTTCCACTAGCAATATACGAGAAATCCAATAACCTTGGAAGTGGATATCGGTCCGGTACGGTAATATTATTCAATGCGCGGTAATCACCGCATGGTCTCCATTCACCATTTTTCTTTTTTACCATGTGCAGTGGACTAGCCCATGGACTGCTTGATGGTCTGCATATGCCAATTTCGCATGTCCTGAAATTCCTTTTTGGCAGCCTTATATTTATCTGGAGGAAGAGGACGAGCCGAGCGCATACGGGAAATCCTTTTGTTATGATGTGATGTTTGATCTTATGCTGTACGGGAATATTCATTGATGTAGGCCTTGTGATTTTTTCATATTTTTCCAAAAGTTGCCTTATAGAGTTAGGCAGTTCGGAGTCAATGGAGCGAACAATATGTTTGCTTTGATGAAACTTACAGGCGTTTTGAGCTCTGTAACTTTATCTATTAATCTCTTCCCGTGTATATCTACCAATAAGCGGTATGCTCTAGAAAATCAGCGCCTAATATTTTTGACGTCAGCAATGATGAAATTCCATTTGAAAGAACGTCGTAAACCCAAATTTAAGGTTAGTGTTTTTTCCCCGTATGTCTTTATCACGGTTCCGTTTGCGGCGAATAATTTTAATTCGCTAGCGCTCTCATTGGTCTGTGCTTGCTTTTTGATCACCGAGATATTTGCTCCGGTATCCACCAAAAATCTATAACCACTGTTAGAGTCGGTTATATCTAGGCGGTTAAAAGGGTGAACAGCACAGAGTTCCGCCGTGTTCTGTGCTGAGCCGAGTTTTACGACGGCTGTCTTTTATGGTTGCAGGAGCACGGCAGGTCACATTTATATTCCTTTTCTTTAAATCTACGATGATAATAGCAATAATTATTACTCTGTCTATGCGCTGACTGACGGCGTGAATTTGATCTAGATCGGAAATTGCTGCGTCGGTTTATGTGTCGCGATCGATTTTCGCGTAGTGCAGCACAAAGCGTCGCGAGTTGTGAAGACAGGTGTATATATACAATTGCATATTAAATCGCATATTTTCATGTATTATTAATTTGTCCAGCGTCATATATTGTGACTGATGGAGGAAGCTGCCTCATCCATAACAGTCGGATGGTATCCTCATTAATTTTCCCGCAACCAGCTATTTTCCTCAATAACTGGGACATCTCCCAGGTTCATTTCTGCGAGCAGTTTGTGGAAACGTCTTTGCTCGCTCTCCTCATAACAGTATCAATGTGTGATTATTTATTCTCTGGTGGTGGATTTGTGATATCGTATTTTGGACGACCTCTTTTGGCAGTTTGGATATTATATATTTTATTTCGTCGGTTTTTGAGGTGCGATTATTGCCTCAAATTGTGCAAACCACAAACGTGGCGAGTCTCAGAACTTAACCGACGGTTATTACATCTCTAATAATTCAGGCATGTTTGTTCCTGTTAATGGCATGACGAGCCATTGTTAACGTTGTGATGAACAGCTGGCCAGTATTATATGCATAAACTTTGCGCATACAAAATTTTTGTGCCTCTTGAATTTCCGTATCAGACCCGCTTCTGGAAATACAAAAGCGCAGGATGCCGTCAAGAGATCTCTTGGTGTACATATATAATCACGTCGGGGTCACCACTGTTGCGGGTGAATAATAAGATGTTGCTGGTCGAGACGATGTATATTACTGATGATGATAAACTGACAATGTGTACATAGAAATAATGATCTTATATACTAAATAACAATAGGAAAATGTAAGGTGGGGTGACACAGTTTAGATACAGCATAAGACAATATTTAATTTGTCTTACCGACATTATTAAATGCATTTATTATTTTATGTATCTAGGTGACTGTGTCCCATAGTATCTACTCTATTTTCAAACAAGTCTAAAGCAAGTATTGTGTGATTAATTGTATGTGATCGTATTTTAACGATTGAAATATATTTTATTAACGACATAGTTAGACCAGTAGATCTATTGCTAACTCTATGGTTAAGAGTTAGCAATAGATCTACAAGTCACTTAAATTCACCAAGAATTAAGCATACAGTCCTTTGGATAGTAGCCTAGAAATCGCTTTGAAGTGTAACTTTGCGAGTGGACGTGTAAAAGTGTTATGGTGCGCAGTGGCGTGGTTCACGTGGGACGTGCGGTGCGGCTCGGGCGGCTCGTGCGGCTCGGGCGGGCTGTCTCTCAGCGCGGGCGGGCTGAGTGCGCGCGCCGCCGGCTGGCAGCCGCGCGTCGCGCTCGCCGACCAGCCGCTCGCGCGCGGCCTGCACTACTGGCGCCTGCGCCTCGACCACTACGACGGCGACGCAGACCCGGCCTTCGGCATCGCACGCGCCGACGTCGCCAGGGACAAGATGCTCGGTACGTAACACCGCTCATACCAAATGTAATCGCTCCGTGTTATACAGAGTGTCACGGAAAGGGTATATCGAGCCAAAGGGATCGGATACAGTTAGTTATTTAAAACCCTTTGTACATATTTTCTGATTAAATATAATACTTTAATCAATATTATATTATTATTATTTTCTTTAACTAATTTAATGTTACTTCAAAATAAACGTTTTTTTTATGTGTGCCCACAAAAAGATATCTGCCGGCGAAAAAAACCCCGACGGTACTCACGCGCATCACATAAATTAACATCCACAGGTGCTACAAAGTATTATATGAATAAATACGTAATATTCAAAATTACTTAAGATATTATTTTTAAAAGAATTTTAACACAAAACAAAAACAAGTTGACGTAACAACGCCTAGAAAGTCAATCATCTAATATTCGCAAAAAAAAATTCGCTACCTCAAAAATTAAAACTATAAACATACATTTTTCGTTTGCTAAATCAGTACACGCAGTGGTTCATTTTACCCTTTTCCGGGATTTCCCCAAATTAGAGCTCAGAGTTCCGTTTTAATTTTACAAAACCTTAGTCAAAGTGATGACCGTCGTTGTTCATGAGTTCCTAGTACTTAATATGATTTATGTATTTGTAATGAGTGCAAATGAAACTGGCATCATTTATTAGCGGAAGAAGTCTTTGTTCTGCAGTAGAAATAAGCTGTTGATCAAGTGTCCGTATCAACTACAGGTTGACATGCCGTGTTGCCGCTGGTTTGTCGGTGTCAAAATAAATATTAAATCGACGGCCTCGGTGCTTCAGCGGTGTGCTTTACTTACGATGGTCGCTGGTTCGATTCCTCGCACGGTGCAAATATTTGTATTCATGCGTGTGATTGTTTATATCGATTTAGGTATTTTCTATGTATATTATGTATGTATTTAGAAAAAAAACTAAGTATTTATATCAGTTCATTAATACTCATAACACAAGCCCTGCTTACCGTGGGACTAGATGTGACCAGTGTTTTTTTATTTATTTAAATACAAGATACGCTTTAAATCGCACTATCTCACAGTTCAGCGCAACATAAGTCATTATTGGCTATCTACTGCTGAATCGAATATTACTCCAAGGATAAGATGCCCTTGGAGTACTTAGGGTATCCAACCATCGGAGTAAAGTTCTGTCCAGAGTAGACTACTATTATGATGTACTACAACAGAATATCAGTAATTGTAACGTGGGTTATAAACCATTATAATCCTTTAAAAAAATCTCATTAAACGGCATAGGCAATCGCAATGTGACAAATATTATTGAGAAGAGTCGATTTTATTTGTACTCCATACGCTTGTGCTAGTACTCATTCTGACGACCTTATTACAAAGTATACTCCGGTAAAAACAGGGAGCGACGCCCTCGGGTGGGCGATGTACATCGACGGGTCGCGGTCGTGGTTCGTGCACGGCGGCGCGCACGGAGGCCGCGCGGCCGGCGGCGTGGCGGTGGGCTGCACCGTGGGCGTGCTGCTCGACCTCACCCGCGGCACGCTACGGTTCACCGTCGACGACCGCCCGCAGGTACGTGCACTGCTCACTACACACGCGCCGCGCGGCCGGCGGCGTGGCGGTGGGCTGCACCGTGGGCGTGCTGCTCGACCTCACCCGCGGCACGCTACGGTTCACCGTCGACGACCGCCCGCAGGTACGTGCACTGCTCACTACACACGCGCCGCGCGGCCGGCGGCGTGGCGGTGGGCTGCACCGTGGGCGTGCTGCTCGACCTCACCCGCGGCACGCTACGGTTCACCGTCGACGACCGCCCGCAGGTACGTGCACTGCTCACTACACGCGCCGCGCGGCCGGCGGCGTGGCGGTGGGCTGCACCGTGGGCGTGCTGCTCGACCTCACCCGCGGCACGCTACGGTTCACCGTCGACGACCGCCCGCAGGTACGTGCACTGCTCACTACACACGCGCCGCGCGGCCGGCGGCGTGGCGGTGGGCTGCACCGTGGGCGTGCTGCTCGACCTCACCCGCGGCACGCTACGGTTCACCGTCGACGACCGCCCGCAGGTACGTGCACTGCTCACTACACACGCGCCGCGCGGCCGGCGGCGTGGCGGTGGGCTGCACCGTGGGCGTGCTGCTCGACCTCACCCGCGGCACGCTACGGTTCACCGTCGACGACCGCCCGCAGGTACGTGCACTGCTCACTACACACGCGCCGCGCGGCAGGCGGCGTGGCGGTGGGCTGCACCGTGGGCGTGCTGCTCGACCTCACCCGCGGCACGCTACGGTTCACCGTCGACGACCGCCCGCAGGTACGTGCACTGCTCACTACACACGCGCCGCGCGGCCGGCGGCGTGGCGGTGGGCTGCACCGTGGGCGTGCTGCTCGACCTCACCCGCGGCACGCTACGGTTCACCGTCGACGACCGCCCGCAGGTACGTGCACTGCTCACTACACACGCGCCGCGCGGCCGGCGGCGTGGCGGTGGGCTGCACCGTGGGCGTGCTGCTCGACCTCACCCGCGGCACGCTACGGTTCACCGTCGACGACCGCCCGCAGGTACGTGCACTGCTCATCTCTATCTATCTATCTCAGCTTTATGCCGTGACTATCACGACATTGATTTTCCACTGAGAATTCCACTGAAAACCCCAAAGAATTTTATTTCTTAAAAATAAGTAATTGAGAGACAAGTGTGGGAGTTATAAAATTAATTAAATATAATAACATAATTTAAAAGATGAGTGAGTACATTTTTTTTATATTTTCTGTATCTGGTGCAATAAAGTGTATAAATATATTAATTATTATATGTATTAGCAGACCTGGCCACACGTTGCTATGGCTACGGTTAAATAATATTGCGACTATAAATTGAGATGTAAGTATCCTATATTTCAAGTGGGATCAAATTGCACACAATGTGCAGATCAAATTTGCAATCGATTCAGTACGTAGGAGTCCGGACAACGGACAAACGCAGACAAACAACGTAATTTTTATATATAAAGATAGTATGAAATCAATTACTCAGTTAAATGTATATCCTTTCAGGGCGAGATAGCGTTCACGGGACTACGTGGCGCATTCTACCCCGCGGTGTCTCTCAACCGTGGCGTAGCCGTCACGCTGCAGCCCGGCGTGCAGCCGCCTCCCGAACTGCTGCTCTCGCAGCTCTCCGTCGAGTAACCTGTTCCACCCAGTATTGGCAACTCTCAAAAACAACTACACAGACTACAAATTATTTAATATCCGAATTAATCATCGTTTCGATGAAAAAATTGTATGTGTACTTATAAGTAACTTATCATAACAATTTAGGAAAGACCATCCAATAAATAAAGAAATTAACGTCATGTCACAAATTATCTGACGATCGCATTATGATTATACGAATTGGCAACCCTAGCTTCCCTTGGCCTATGATTATATTATACTTATACAATATATTTCGTAAAATTATACATCATCAAATCATATATACTTTCTAAATAAATAAAATTACACTCTAAAACATGGTCTTGTAACAACTTGGGTCATAAGACGTTTTACTCCTCTGGAATAGCAACACAGCAGTATTACGAGTGTAATATAATTATATGATATCCGTAGTGCTTTTCATGTATATAGGCGAGGGTTACCGCTTACCATTCTGTAATTAATTATTTTGTGAAATAATGTTTTAATTCAGTATACGAGATATTAATCCAATTATATTCTTTAGTGTATATGCAATCAATTGTAAATTTGAATGTATAGAATAACAAATAAACTATGAATTATCATGTCTTCTTACATACTTGTAAGATAATGAAATTTACATATACACACTATATGTATTACTATTATTATGTATTTTAATATGATTTGATGTTCATGACAATAACTTGTAGGTTTATTTCTATCACCGTTTATTTCAAGTACAATTCCAAGTAATACGAACTTCCATTACAACAATTGTACAGTATAGAATTTGTATAATTACTATGCATCGAATATATAGACAGCTATAGCTCTAGCTGCCCACTAGACATAAGATTTATATATGGCTAATTTAATATATATAAATAAAAGTAGGTAGATTATAAAAATAATTATATTTGTGTGACAATGGCATGGCTCAAATCATGTTTATTATTTATTGCTTTTCTAGTAATTACTTAGGTAAGTATTGTATCGAAATGAAACACAAATATACATACATTTAGAAGTTAATTTTCGTTATTAATATTATATATAAGCCATATCAATTTTGATGTTTATGTTAGCAGTTAATAAGGTTTAATATTATTTTTTCACTGCCATTTACTTGCATGCTAAGTAACTAGTGTAAAGGGACCTGAACGAGTTGAATATTCCATTACCCACCAATACACATTATTATTATTTTAATTTTACTTTTATATGTATTTTAATAAGATGACGCTATCCGTAACAATATGAAGTTTCTGTACGAAAAGTTTGTATGTTATCCGGCCTGGTACTCAGGGCGATATAGCGCACTATATCAGTCTGCTATATCGCCCTGAGTACTGGTATAAGTGGTAACGAAAACGTTATTGGGGCAAGATAGTAAGCTATTTTTGTTAGTGCAAGCGACTGAACTGATTTTATCCTGTCGACTGTATATTTTATCATATCTGTTGTGTTATTAGCATTTCAGGTATATGAATTTTGTGTGCTAAATTATAATGGCCATTAATTTTTATTTTCACGCCTGTTCTATTCGCGATAATCAGGTTATAGATTAATGTAGTAATATGACATGTAACAATTTACGTCATTATTATCATACTTATGTATGGTGTTTATTATTGTTTTTATATGGAGTGTTCTAAATTAATGTATTTTAATGATTTTGTCGTGTTCATAACATTTATATTAATTAAAAATATTAATTCTTTTACAACCAGTGACATATCATATCACACAGCTTCTCGATACTTATTTGTAGAATTCTATGTAAATTGTAATTTGCCGTAACGCAACGAATTATTGCCGGAAATATCGAAATATAAAATATAAATAAAACGGAATAGGAAATATAAGCATTATTTTACCTAAGAGTATTCACTATCCAAGAGTTGAAATATTCACATTATCTGTCAAACATTATAAATAATGTATATTTTGATTCTAATATTTTCTAATTATTTTTTCTGAATTGTAATAATGAATAAATATTGAATAATGTTTAATTTTCAAAAAGTTCAAACATCGTATTTTTCACTTTATTAATGAACGCACTTAATATACCTATATTTTTTTTAAATAAATATACAGACTACTGTAGACTCAAAATTAATGTATATGTAGACAATTATTTTTTATTTTTATTATTTAAGTACTTTAATCCATGGAATTTTGTTCTCGAAAATGTAGAGAATATATTAATTTTACGTGTTCGAATAATATTAATTCACCGTTTGTTTATACTGACGTCATTTCTTTTAAAAAATATCTGGCATATGTACTTATAAATTAGAACAACCCTAACCAGGAAATGTTGCTATATTGATTGAATATTTTATACTTAATTATTGACTGATTTTTAATAATAAATATACATTCTTAAAAGCACATGTGTTTAAAATATCATTTATTCTATCTTACGCATTAATCACAACCACTGTACCGCGATTATGACACCTTTGCCCTATGGTAGGACAACACGCGTTAGTGCTGTTGCGAGCTTCATGATAATGTGAAGTCCGTGCTGCTGTTCATTTATATTGCTTAGGGTTACGATTTACCATCAGCTTGTGTGCCTTAACAAAAAATAACAATCTGTTTTATGTAGCCTTTGTAGATGAAGTACAGTGTAGTGACAGTACAGTACAAGAACGACATCAAGTCAATCACTCGTCTGTGAATTTGGTGGAGAAATATGGCATACTCAGTAACAGGATATCGTTCCATATAGGAAATATATTTTTTTGTCACATGTGAAATGGATATACTAAAAAAATATGAAAATGTAAAGACTAAACTTTTTAAATTGTTTATCCTTCTCGAGACTTCAAACTTATATTCGTAACTTAATGAATACTACCATATTATATATACCAGAAAACAATCTTCAAACAGCATTGTCTTTCTTAATTATTTATCAAATGGACGTGCTTGTTTGTTTTATAAATTACAGCGTCAAAATCATTATTACTACGGATCGAATCGTAGAATAATAGTAATAAAAACAAAATGAATTCGAAGGAAAAATAATTACCGAGAATTGACCTTTCCAATTCTCTCCATTCCGTAAAAGCAAAATTATTTCTAAAACCTTTGGAAGATTTTTGAGACCACTTTTTGTATTTGTACCTTACAAAAAGTCAGGATTAAAGTGGGAAATTCTTTTAAACACAGACGGGTCTGTGCTGGTATTTAAGTTTCTTTCAAATTGAAACTATTTAAATATGTACAATAAATTTGGGAGATAGCCACGAGTTTTCTAAATTACAAAAAGGAATATATGAAAACATACATAAATGTGGTTAGCAAAGCAAAGAAAAATGCAATTAATTTAGAAAGTCATAGTGCTAAAAACTTAACGAAAGAACTATGGAATATAGTAAATAAAACTAAGTATAAAATCCCTAAGGCATTAAATGAAATATTCTTTTAAAATTAAATGTTGAAAAAATAGATGATGAAATAATAAACACTTTTTCTCAATAATAAAATTAAGAAATAATAGGCATTTCGGTATAGGTAATGTGACCATTTATTCTTCGACTCAAAACGGGACACAATTAACAGACAGCCAATGAAAAAAACTCTTTTTTAAAATTATCTATTCAAAAAAAGTTATCAATTAAGAAATATATCCGATAAATATAATTAAACATTTTGTTTATTCATAGATAGTTTATATTTATCTGATAAAAATAAAATGTTTTGTTATCGGAGGAACAAATTTGACTTTTTAAGAAGTATTTAAGTAAGAATGACACTCTTGGCACATTTTTTTTATACTCACCTTAATTACCAACAACTAACAACCGGCTCGTCTACCCAAAATTTCGCACCGTTACCGAAAACGGGACAATTTTGCGTCCCAGAGTCCGTTTCGGGGACACCGGGACTCGTAATTATAAAAAGGGACTGTCCCGTTCATTACGGGACGTCTGGTCACATTAGGTATAGGGCGCCGCGGCGGCGCCATGTGGGAGCGGTGCGATAAAACGTTGACGCGAACCTGTCCGAGCGAATGGCAGCCGCCCTCATATGTCTCAATGTTTTGTTTTATTGTTCATAAAAAATACCATTATTATTTTTACGTACATTTGTCTTGTGTTATATTCATCGATTCTAACCTATAAGGTTGCGATTTATGCTACGAAATTTATAGCTTTCCTTAATTATACTTATATATTTGTGATTATATTATTATTACATTATTTTAGTAAATACGTATGGTATAGACAATAGTTTAAACCAAAAATTAATAACAATTTTAGTATAGTTATAAGTAGGAATGTATAGTTAACTCGAGAATGAGAACTCATTGGTAACAAATTGTTTTCTTGAGAATTCAATAGATAACAGTCAATTTGTTACATAATCGTCTTTACGAACTATAACGTGTCAATACGAAGTTTCAGATATTAAATAATGTATATGTTGATAGAGAACAATTCCGTATTTGCTTAACATATGTTATTACTATCCACAAATCACAAGGCCTTAGTTTTAGCAGTTCTCTTCTCAACATAGCCTCCTCTATATTTAATAAAGGGCAGGTTTACGTTGGACTCTCCAGAGTTAAAACCTTAGATGGAGTACGTCTTAACAATTTAGATCCAAGTTGTGGTGCAGGCATTTGAAAACTCAATGGGTGTTACAGGGTGTTATTCCCTGTAGCTCTGTTGTAGAGTACAACCATCTGTGGACGTTATACCGCCCCGATTTGCCCAAAAATTCCTGATACTGAATTGGCATTGCACTTGAACATTTAAAAGTTACAAGAAAATATAGAAAATAACACCAAAAAAGACAATTATACCCCGTAAATATACGAAAATACAGTAATTTATCAAAAATAATTTGGTATTAATTTAGTTATAAATAAGTACCTCGTATAATTTATGTACAAAAAGTAATGATATCCCATCAAAAACATAAATGTGAAATGATAGCCGAGTTTAATATTATGATAAATGCCTTGATTGTTGACTTCTACGACAAGAGATGAGATGGGTGCCAAGTTCAATGGTCTGTCCTGAAATGTAGTTATAACAATATAAAATATCATTTCTTCTTATAACTTAGGATAATATACTGTAGCCTAAGGTCTAACTTGGCTAGTTTTCATATACGAAATATACTGTAGCCTTCGCAAGTTCTAAACATGTTACTTGTCGGTTCCTATTTTAATATTAATAGTAACTAGCAATCGAAAGTAATAATTGGTATATGAGAACTAACCAAGTCAGACCTTAGGCTACAGTATATTATCCTAAGTTATAGGAAGAAATGATATTTTATATTGTTATAACTACATTTCAGGACAGACCATTGAACTTGGCACCCATTTAGATCTCATCTCTTTTGTCGTAGAAGTCAACAATCAAGGCATATATCATAATATTAAACTCGGCTATCATTTCACATTTATGTTTTTGATGGGATAATGATAATACAATAAAGATCTTAGTTGAAACTAGTACCGTGATATTTATGTCACAACTTAAAGATGTAAATATAGTAAAAGCTAGCTGGAATCTAAGATGTCATGTGGTTACATGGATGGTATATCAATTACAATCTTTAAAGATTATATAGATTTCTTAACAAAAATTTATTTACCTTTTTTAACCAAAGCTATGGAAACGGATCTTCCTTGAACAACTGAAAATAGCTAAAGTAATAGTAATTTGTTCCTAAAACTTATAGACCATACAATTATTGCTTACAATCTCGAAATCGATCTTTTAGGACACTAAAACATAATAAAATAGCTTTGGGTACTGGAAGAGTAGGAACTAGAGACCTAATTGATACACTAATAGATCAAGTTTTTACTGTCAAGTTATATGACGAATAAAAAGTAGCAACAATTTTTTTGGACTTCTGTTCTGCGTTTGATGACTTCGACCATAGTATTTTTTGTCAATCCTTGAATATTACGGGATCCGCCGTACTTAGTTTTTTTTTTGGGGATGATAATGGAATGGTGCACCCGCCAGCGCTAACGGTTTACGCTGGCGGGGCACCAGTGGAGGATGATAAGACGAACATGAGGTCAGGTCAGTTAGCCCATCGTGACAAATTCACCAAGAATTTAACACGATGGTTCCCAGGGAGAACCGCGTGGAGGTCGATCTGACATGGTACATTGCTAGCAATGGGGTTATCAATCCACATTACTAACAATCTCCTTCCCCCACATCGTACTTAGTTAAAACTCTTTGAATCATTGATCATACCAAACAATTTGTGGAAGTTTAATAATTAAATTAGTCAATGGGTGTAAAACAATACCTAAGTCTAAAATCGAGCATATGTACCACAGAGATGTACCACAAGGAGTCTGGGACCAATTTTGTTTTGTTTTGATAATTCGAAATAAAATTCGTTATTTTTGGCGTGAAGAGTTTATTTTTGGTCTTTTTCAACAATAATATATTTTTTAAATAGAAAACAAGATAAATTATTATTTTGCAGAATATAATATGATACTGCCAATTGCGTAGTTGTCCTGTATAACAGTCTATTTATATAGTAAGTAGTTCATGATTTATCATTTTAAATCTAATTCTGATATGCCTTCTGTAATCGCCAACATTCGATAAGGTGAAGACTATCAACAAAATAGTAACTTAAAATTTGGCAAAATTATAAATCAATTGTATAAAAAAAAGTACTATTTACAGGTATTTCTTATAAGTGCAAGTTTTCACTAATAAACAGGTTTGTTTTAATAACGCGTACTTGAATTAAGTGTTTAACTTTAATTACCTTGTAAACGAATTAATTGACGTAACTAGGTGGAAACACAAATACTTATACACTGCTCAGTATTGTCCAACACACGCCAAAAAAACAATAGCAACAAAAATATTTATAAAAGGTTATTGCATTCAGATTGTGGCCTATTGCATGACCCATTTTACATTAGTTCAGCTAGTATTTTCATAGCAAATCAGCATAATGTATCTAAAATATCAGTACCATAACTAAAATTATAATTTAATTAAAATAATTATATGCAATAATGAATAAGTAATACTCTTACTTAATAATTAATGTTTATGAATTTATGTTAACACAAATAAGTACTTCGTGACAAAGTGGATTCACTATTATAACAAAAATTTGGATTACTCAATAGGTTGGCATCCTAAAGAAATACCTGTAAAATATACGCCTAAAGTATATGTCTAATACAATTTACAACAGGGCTTTTGAGAAAATCAGTCGAGTTTATATCTTGCCTCCAATAGACTGTACTTATGAAATAGCAAAAATCTTTATTGTTTTCAACCTTTTGACAACATCACATATACAATTATCACCAATAAGGTCAGAAGTCTCTCATATATTTGCTATTTTCATTTAATTATAAAAATATAGTAGTACTCTGTAACGTATAATAAAATTATACATTTTTAACAATCTAATGGGTATACAGTAAATGAGCAATATTATATTAACACGGCTGACATTCTAAAGTGGCCCGGAAATACTTATGATTCGTTTTGTAAGAAGCGTATAAATTAAAGTACTATTAATTATCACAATTTTTCACACTATGAATGTAAAGCAACAAAATTATAATAGGTACAATTTAATAAGATTTTTCGTTATCATTATCACCCAAACAGCTTATCAATCTCAGTTGGCAAGTATTTATTTATTGTTGATATATTTTCAGTAGTTATCGAGTCCAAAAAATGTTCCAAGATTTTCTTCCTTTCATCTCAATTTCCACAAGATTACATTGAGATCTAGAAAATCTCATCTAATTTAGCTATGAAATAATCATGAAACTATACATATCACAGATATACGCAGTGTCAGTCCGTCACTTTCGACGTTCACCACTTATAGAGAATAATTTTCATATTTTGTACATAAGTGATAAGATTAATTTGCACAGATATTTTTTTAAACAACGCAATTTGTAGCCATTGCTATTACTTCATTTTAACTTTCATTTTCATCTATATTTTTACTAATCTATGTGGAAAATATTAATACATTATTAACAATTGTTACATTGTCGTACGTTGGTCAATTCAAATAACTAATAAAATATATCGTTGCATTTAACTTACATACACTTCCTTTTGCAATCATTTTGTAATAAGCCAGGTCTAGGGAACAAGGATCATATAAAACTTTATCCCTTGGAAATAGCCTAAAGGTCTTTAATATACAAAATTAATGTAGAAAGTGTATAGAAAAAATTAATGTTTTCCAATTCGTTCTCTAACAAATTACATTTATACTAAGCACTATTGTTACAAAATTGATCTGTAAACATATTCTTTCATGAGATTTTGTGATGTTTGTAGTTAAAAATCAGTTAGCACATTTACGGTAACTAATCAGAGATCACACACTTTAGTATTGCAGAAGGATTTACAAATTAAATACATAAGCAGGTCACGAAAGTAAATAAACCATTAAAACGTTGGCCATGTACGAAAATCAGCACTATTAAGACGCGACCAAAAACTCTTCACTTGACATCCCTAATACTTTTAGTCCCCCCCTCCCCCCTCCCCAGAGAGCAAAATTGAGTTTTAAATAATGGAAATTATTGGCTCTCTAACATAAATAGTCCAGACAAAGCAATGACCCATATCTGCAAGCCGTAACAGTATAGTTCATTCCCCTGCCTTGTTAAAAGTCACAGTTTATTCAAAATTTTATTAAAAAAAAGACGTTACTAATTCTTCGTATTTAGATTTGGTGGGCTACCCATTTGTTCACGAGGGTAATGTAGAAAATCTGACTTGTGAACAAGAAAAATTAACTATAAAATATATTTATTTCTTCTTTATTCTCTAAAGTTCTAAACCAATCCCACCAGAATCATCATACTAGTTATGCCAAAACTGTGACAAAAACCGCTTTTAGATTTAACAAAAAAATAATTGTTAAAACTATTAAACCGAATCATCACTATAAGTTAACTTATGTTAAATTATATACAGATATTACTATAATCATTCACACAAACGAACAATTTACATCAGTCATCTAATTTATTTTCCAAAGTTAACTTATAGGATATACACAGTTACAATAAATACGGCTTGAAGTAATTGGACATTATCTCAAGCGGCTAGAAACAATGTCCTTGACGCTGCAATGAACATACGAATTGTTAAATGTTATTTGTTTGAGCTAGACTTATAAATCTACCCATATAACGGAATGCAGTGTTTTTAGTAAGAGTAAAATTAAAATTGCGCTAGCTCAAGTATATTCATAATATGGGTAGAAAGTACATATTTATATATATAGATATATATAGCAAGTCTACCACAATTTATGTTAAGATCTTGGACAAATTTAGGTAGACTTTGTTCGTATTCAGATTCAGATAAATATTTTATGTTTTAACAATGGAGGAATCCACACACAGTATCCAATATGGACAAAGAGCGCAAATATCCTTTTTAAGTCCCAATGTTTTATATACACTTTAAAAAAGTAACCCTATTCAGGGTCAAAAGTCTTATTTCACGATAACTATTTACACGCACATTTTGTTACAATAAATTCATTACACTTTTTACAAATAAAGTTTGTTTTTGTTGTTTATAATTTTATTACTTTCACCAGTCAGCAAGTCCAGATAGATGTAGAGGGCACAGAGTGTGTGCGAGTGAACACTGCGGCAACACGGCGTTACTTGTCGGCCGAGTCGTCTTCGTCAGGGCGCGCCACATACAGCGCCGGGTCGATCACCTTTGGAATAGGCTTGATCTCCGTGCCCAACTCCTGCTCTATACGGTGCAGTGCAAATCGATCCTCGTATGTGATTAGATTGATCGCAATACCTAAGTGGCCGAACCGCCCAGAGCGACCAATGCGATGGAGATAAGTCTCTGCCATACGAGGGAAATCGAAGTTAATAACGACATTGACGGCCTGCACATCTATACCTCTAGTGAACAAATCAGAGCACACTAAGTTACGGCACAGCCCTGCGCGAAAATCATGGAAGACGCGATTGCGATGTGCCTGCGCCATGCGCGCATGTATATAATAACAACAATATCCCAACTCTGTTATTTTCTTCGCAAGTAATTCTACACGCTGAGTGGAATTGCAGAATATTATAGACTGGTTAATTTGTAACTGAAACAATACAATAGCAAAACATAAATACAACTCATTATACTTGTAATGCTAATTTTAAATGTTAATAGTATTAATTACTGTCTGTAATGAATAATTTTAATAGTAAAAAATTTTTATTTACCTTTGAAAAAAGTGTATTTAAGCAGTGAACTTTTTGTCTCTCTTGTACAAATGCATAATATTGTGTGACACCTTTCAATGTTAACTCCTCCATGAGATTAATCTCATAAGGTTCTCTCAAGTGCTTTTCCATAAATTGTTTCACACTTAGTGGAAAAGTGGCAGAGAACAGCAATATCTGGCGTTCTTTGGGTAACCTAAACACAAATAAGACAAAAATATATAATAGACAAATTTTATTAAACTAAATTATCCACTTTTTTTAGTATATAATATAAATCCAAAAAGTTAAGAATAGGTACATACCGTGAGATGACCATGTCCAACATGCCTTTAAAGTCTTGAGAAAGGAGTTTATCAGCCTCATCTAGAACCAACATTCTGCAGTGGTCCATTTTAGCAACCTGTTTATCCATGAGATCAATCATACGACCTGGCGTAGCAATTATAACTTGAACTGAAAAAAACAATTTTAGCATATATAAAATTCAGTTTTATACAGTATACAACACTTTAGTGATGAAGAATAGTGAGAATTTAGTGGTCAGACAGTTCAGACAAATGATGAAAGCAACATTACAAAGGTAGACTTTGTAGTAAATTATCTATTTGTGTACCTTTGTATAACCTAGTTCTGCCAACAAGCATCTTCTTCTGCAAGTTGTGTTCAGGTTTTATGGGTAAGATACAGAAGTGAAATTACAGGGTACAAAGGCAGAACAACTTTGAAATTGCAATTGACAATGGTACCATGAGTGTCATAGCAGGCAATACAAAATAAATTTAAAGACGAAAGTTAAACAATTCAAATATATATTCTAATAATTTGTGACCTGTGTTGTGGCAAACATAAACACAAATCTATGTACTATTAAGTTCCATTTTCAATGGTTTTGTTCAGGTTGTAAATTGTATGAAATAACATCTCACCATTTTGATATATACGCATAATATCATCTCTGAGGTTGGTGCCTCCTGTAGTAACCATTACGCGAATGTCTGTGTGCTTTGCCAGTTCAATGCAAATTTGTGATGTTTGAAGTGCTAACTCCCTTGTTGGTACAACAATTAAAGCTTGTATTACATCTTTTTTAGGATCAACCTACAAAAAAAAAAATATTTTGCCTTTAAAAAAAGCAAGGTAATCTATCTATTTAGATAAGACAAACAGCTATGTCAGAATTGTTTTTTATCACTTATAGAAAGTGAAGGGGAATCCAAAAATATCATCATTTTTATTAAGACTTTATATTATTCATAAAATGTATAGTGCTTATAAGAATACTCGAAATACAAATAATCATTCATTTAGAAAATATGTAAAATTTATATCTAAACCATAAATAACAACCATATATTGTTCATAATAGGATTAATCTCATTTAACATAACAACTATATTGCAAGTAAATATTAACAGACTAATAGTTTAATCAGGGCTTTATACAAAATTGTTATGATGATAAAGTGTTGTATTTGCTTTGTGCTGTATGTTTAAACTCAAAATTTTATATAAAAAATATGTCAGAAAGTTATATGGAAACATTTTAAGACTTTTTTTCCCTGAATAATACAAACTTGTTAGTCATAAGTTGAATTATGCATTATCCACATTTGAAGTATATAATTATTGTGTGATTTGAAAGAAGTTATATATATATTTATAATAAAAACATGAATATTTCATTATTAAATTATAGTTTTATATTATTAAATTGAACATTTAAAAAATAATTATTACAAAATATTTTAGAATATTACCTGCTCTAAAACTGGAATACAATATGCACCAGTTTTGCCAGTTCCATTTTTGGCTCTTGCAAGTACATCTTTACCACTAAGTGCAATTGGGATTGAAGCCTCTTGAATAGGGGAAGGTTTCTCCCAACCCTTTTCAAAAATACCCATCAGCAATTCTCTTTTTAAACAAAATTCCTCAAACTCATTACCTCTAGTATCTGTCACATCCTAAACAGTAAAAAAAATGTTACTATAATATGTAACACATTCATATAATTAAAATAAAAACTGAGGGTACTTCATAAACTTACACTGGTTTTTATTCTTCTGTCTTTTGGGGGTATTTTTAATTTTGATTTCCAACCGATGTCGTCGATAGTTTTATCGACATCTCTGTAAAAAAGAATGCATAAGCTTAATAGATATCCATGTATAATTGCGTTTCATAATTATAACAATAAATTAATCAAAATAAACATACCCCTTGTTCTGATTAGATAAACTATTTCCGACGTGATTAGTTGAACTAATTCTATTTTCGGTCATCATTTTGCCAAACAATCCCACTAGGGATGACTAAAATTAGAAACTTAATCACAAAACTGTGTCCAACACTAAACAAATTTTAGAATAAATCACTGTCCGATTCATAGGCTACTATGAAATTATCACGTTCACCAAATTAGTCCGGGAATCTGAAACAAATTAATCATTAATATTGTCAACAATAGGCCTAATGTAGAATAAATACATGAGACGCGTCAACAAGAACATATACAATAATAACTGTGTATATATAAATATCTAAACGGATATTACGTTGTCGAGTGAATTAATTGTAAACTATAAATAATTGTTTAGCGTTACAATAAATTTACGAATTAAAGTTTACTCAATTTAATTATATATAATCATTTAAGATTGAAAAGATTACTTAGGATGATATTCATTGATTTTAGTTCCAACTTTAATGGCCGCCTAAAAATTATTGATAAATGTAACAGTGAACAATATGATTTAATATTATAACTACTTTGGTTTTAGATACTTCTATAGTAATTTAGAGACAAGGGTTAATGCAAAAATATAAATTACTTATCAAACGAATAGTAATTACCTTGATAAAACTTTAAAAAAGACGATACCCGTACGCGTTAGTAGACGACGACATCACAAAGTAAGCAAAGACAAAAAACTGTTTTTTTAAGCGAAGCCTATTCTATGATGACTACTATACACTTACAGTTCATTGTGCCAATAATCGAAACGTATTGTAACTGAAGTTGTCAATATTTTGTACACAAGTAAGTTAGTAATTAAAAATGAATGATATAATTAAAAAGACCTATGTATAATATTTTTTTGATAAATTATACCTACCTAACGTATGCTTTGTATGCGATATAATAGTTTTTATGATTTAATTAAATTTAACTTAAAGCTATTCGTTTTTGTGTATGTGTTGTGTATTACACATTTCGAATTTAATTAGAAGACTTTTTTCATCCGAATATTTTATTATAACTTAAATAAACTTAAACCGCCAAAGTTGATATTAAATCGTACTTAGAAGTCATCTGTATCTATTAATGCTACCACTGAAAAAGGGCGGGAAAATTTGGTTTGACCGGACGCGTTTTTTAATTCAGGAAATATTATTTCAATAACATATAGATTAAGGATTGGTTTTTAGTAATTTTAGTTGTATTTAGTGTTATTATTATATTTATTTTTAGTGTGTAATTTGGTGTGTACATATCATATTGGTAAGTTAGATTTTATTTCTATATGGGCGAACCGCCCGACGATCCTGGGGGAACTACGACTATAGTTCCTCCAGGATTTGAAAATGAGATTCCAAACACTCCAATGGACATCTTAATTACGGCTTTAGAGTCGTCTATGGATACTGACTGTTCAGTATCTGATTCTGGAAAATTAAAAAGGAAAAGAATTGCTCGTGCAACTTGTAGTACATGTCTAGGTAAGAAAAGGAGACACGGTTCAAAAAGGATGGGACCAAATGTTTGTGCATGCATAACAAATGAAACAACAATAATAGATCAATATAATAATAAAGATTCTGAAGTCAATTCCAAATCTCAAAATGCAGTTTCTACTGCTCTTAACAATAATAGTACACAAAACACTGAAATCACTCGAACACCTATTGCTCGCACTAGGTATCAGCCATCAGATGCAGCACCATATATAATTCATGTCCAGAGGGAATTCTCAGATGATAACAGCAACACAACATTGCATCCCGTCACATTTGGTCGCTTTCTGAAACGTAAAGAAATTAATGGTATTGTGAATGGTAGTCTTAAACGAATTGGTCGTAATAGAATTAGTTTGTCTTTCTCAAATTTCACAGCAGCAAATTCATTCTTATGTAATCAAAGTTTAACAACTGAAAAATACAAAGCTTTTATTCCTACTTTTAACATTACACGTATGGGTGTAATAAGGGGTGTCCCCACTGATTGGTCTGATGAAGACATTTTACAAAATATAAGTGTCCCAATAGGTTGCGGTACAATACTTAAATTGAGAAGGCTTAAAAGGAAAGTTAATATCGATAATACAAATACATTTGAAAATATAGGCACTGTTGTTCTTACTTTTGATGGACAAGTACTGCCAACCCGAGTTTATATGTGTTATACTGCATTAGCTGTAACCCTTTATATATATCCCACAGTACAATGTTACAACTGTTGTAGGTATGGCCATGTTAAAAGCCAATGTAGGGCCACTCCAAGGTGTTTTAAATGTGGACAGGGACATTCAGGGGAGAATTGCAATATTGATGAAAATGACTATTGGTGCTGCTTGTGCAAGGGTTCTCACCAAGCAAATAGTAAAAAATGTTTAGAATTTGACCGGCAAAAAGCAATTAAAGAGACTATGAGTAAGAGTTGTATTTCATATATGGAAGCCGTCAAATTACATCCACCAGTTAATAAAATGTCTTATGCAGATGCTTTACTTACAGCTCCTTCCTCCCCATCTAATATAAATAATGACAAATCTCCAAACTATACTACATTAAATACAGTTCCTGTAAATAACCAAAATAGGTCATATAAAAAGACAGTGTTTCTGAAACCAAAAGCCCTACCAAAATTCTCAAGAGGATATGATCAATATGCACACAATGAGATCATAAAAAGTCCCACACTCCCTCCATCTCAACCCATTTTTAATAATAATAATCATGATAAAAATATTCAGATTTCAGCAATTATAAAAACATTATTAGACCTTTTACAACAATCGAATTCAAATATATCACCGTCCAACGTAGCTTTACTTATTGATACTATATATAAGATCACAGATAATGGATCAAGCTCAGGCCATACAGTGGAACTGCCGGAGCCTCATCAATAAAAAACATGATGTTATACACATCATTAATAAATATGATCCCTTCATAATTTGTTTACAAGAAACTTGGTTAAAACCGGGATCTATTTTTAAGATCCCTGGTTATTCCTGTTTAAGGAATGACAGACCTGATGGGTATGGAGGAGTCGCCATACTCATCAGGAATTCTTTATCCTATAATATTCTTCCTTTGCCTTCACACAGTGATGATATCTCTGTTATTGCTATTATAGTGAATAGTATTTGTTATGTGTCTATATATTTCTCCCGCCCAAGTAATGCCATTTTCAATGAAGTCAATAATTTATTCAACATCCTACCAAAACCATTTATATGCTTAGGAGATTTTAACTCTCACCATCAGACTTGGGGTTCCTCTTCATCCAATAGTTATGGTGACCAATTATTGGAGTTAATTGACTCCCATAACTTATGTATTTTAAATACTGGTATGCCAACACGCATCACAAGACCCACTGAAGGTCTCAGCTCACCAGACTTATCTATATGTACACCAGATCTCGCTTCATCTCTTGTTTGGTGTCCGCTAAACTATAGTTATAATAGTGATCATTATCCATTATTAATTACTTTTCCTTTTTCAAAACCCTTGCAGCAGATGAAACAGCCCCGTATGAGGTATAAATTAAGTAATGCCAACTGGTACAACTACAAACAGAAAGTACATGAAAAATTATCAACTTTACCCAAAATATCCCATGACAATGTGTCAGAGTGTTCTCTGTCATTAGCTAAATTATTAATTGAGGCAGCTGATTCAACATTTCCAACCAAAAATAGTGGTCCTAGTACAATACCCTCTCCACCTTGGTGGGATGAAGAGTGTACTATTGCAGTAAAACAAAGGAAAATAGCTGAAAGACAGTACTGTGTCTGTATGTCTGAAGATAACTATAAAAATTATCAAGAAGTAGCTTATAATACTAAAAACTTATTAAAACAAAAAAAGATTGAAGGTTGGAGTAAATTTTGTGCCTCATTATGTCCTAATGTCAATCCATCTATTATCTGGCAAAATATACGTAGATTTAGATCGGCCTTTAATGTATCTCAACAACAAAAGATTTCTCCCACTCTTGCAGAACAAATATTAGATAGATTAGCCCCACCTTTCGTTCCAGAACAGCTCCATGTAAATCCTTTAACTATTAATACAGAAATAGTTAATAATAATGATTCTACATTTGATCTCAATTCATCCTTCACTGTCAATGAATTAAAAGGTGTACTTTCTGTTATTAAAGACTCGGCGCCTGGTGAAGACGGCATTCCATACTCTTTTATAGTACATTTAGACGAAGATGCTCTTAATTATTATCTCTCTTTAATCAACACAGCTATGACATCAGGTAATATTCCCAGTTCTTGGAGAACACAAACTTTAATCTTGTTATTAAAGCCAGATAAACCAAGTTCCGAACCTTCATCATATCGTCCCATAGCTCTATCTACTGTATTGGCGAAAATATCGGAACATTTAATAAAAAATCGCCTCGAATGTTTTTTGGAACACAATGGATTATTCTCAGATAGTCAGCTAGGATTTAGGAAAGGTAAGAGCACTTTTGACAGTTTGGGGATTTTTGTCACAGATATTAGATTAGCGTTTTCTAGAAATGACTCTGTAATAGCTGGTTTTCTAGATATAACCGCAGCTTATGATAATGTTAATATCCTGATACTGAAACATAAATTAGAGATGTTGAATGTACCTAGACATTTAATGAATTTTATTATAAATATGTTAACAGAAAGATTTATTAAATATCCTTTAGATAATAATGATTGTATATATAGGACGGTATGGAAGGGGCTACCTCAGGGTTCCGTAATGAGTCCAATTCTTTACAACATTTATACTATTGATTTAGAAGTATCCATAAATAAATGTGTAAAAGTTCTGCAATATGCGGACGATTTGCTTTTCTATGTTGCCGGCCGATTAATTAACGAGATTAGCGATTCCCTTTCTGCAGCATTAAAATTTCTTAAAAAATGGCTAGATAATAATGGTCTAGATCTATCCCCATCTAAAAGCACTGTAGTTGTATACTCTAGAAAAAGGATTCCATCAGTAGTTAATGTTTTATATGATGATTCCCCCTTATCAGTTAAGGATCAGGCAAAGTTTTTGGGACTTGTATTGGACTCAAAACTCACAGGTGTATCACATTGTGAATCCGTTGTAGTGAGATGTGAACGCAACCTAAATATTTTAAGGTGTCTTAGTGGTGTATGGTGGGGCGCCCATCCTTCTATTATGAAACTCCTATATAATGCCTTAATTAGAAGCATTATAGACTACGGCTCGGTTTTATTAAATCCAGCAAACGCAGCAGCTTTTAAAAAATTGGATTGTATTCAATATAAGGCACTACGACTTATCACTGGATCAATGAAATCCAGCCCAATAAATTCGTTACAAATAGAGTGTTGTGAACCACCGCTAAAACTGCGAAGACAGTACCTGAGTGATACATTTTTTTTCCGTAGCCTAGCATTAAAAAAAAATCTCTTAATTTCTAGAGTCAAGGAATTGGCTGAGGTGATAGCCTCTTCGAAGTATTGGACTCATAAAGACCAACCTTGTTTAGTGAAAAGTTTCCAAAAATTTAAAGACATTACATCTCCAACATATCAGACTCAATATCTTCCCCTGTACCAACATAGTTACACTTCGCTAATACTTAATCCCCAAATATTATATAATATAGGTATAAATAAAGATGAAATTAACGCCAATGACAAATTTAACTATATTATGGATAATGAATGGAAAGATTGGCACTACATTTTTACGGACGCCTAAACATTCTAACGGCGAATGTGTAGGTGTTGGAGTCTACCATTCACAATACAAAATTCATCAAAAAATTAAGCTTCCGCCAGAGACCTCCGTCTATACTGGAGAATGCTACGGACTTCTTAAGGCGATTGAATATGTACTCCTTGCTAAACTATGTAAAACAATAATATTCTCCGATTCACTTAGTAGTTTGCAGGCTTTATCACATTTTCCCTTTAAATCCCACAAACAATCTCCGATAATTTTTAAAATTCGTGATCTACTTTCTCAATGCTTATCATTACAATTAAATGTTCACTTCGCTTGGATACCAAGCCATCTTGGTATATCTGGTAATAAAAAAGCTGATCAACTGGCTAATGATGCTGTTCGCGATGGCGATTTATTCCCATATGTCAATTACTGTAATGACCTAGCTTTGTTGTCAAAAATATACTTGTATGAGGATTGGAATCGGCTTTGGACAATTGAAACTCACAAGGGGAAGAATTACAGACTAGTACAAGAAACTATTCCTTATAAACCTTGGTTTAGTAAATTTAAATTTAATAAAAAAACCACATCAATTATTTGCAGACTTCGATTGGGACATGTATGTACACCAGCAAATCTATACAAATTTAATATTGTTTCTGACCCTACATGTGCTTGTGGAGCGTACGGAGATGTTAATCATGTGTTCTTCTCCTGCCCTCTATATGATCGCTCTGAATTTATTTCCCAACTCCTTCTGATCCGTGTCCCACTTCCTACATCTATTAATTGTTTGTTACATAATAGCGATACCAAGGTATATAAAATATTAGCCACATTTATTTTATATAATAATATAAAATTGTAAATATATACATATATATATATAATATATATACATTGTAAACATCATAAACCTGACCAATCCTTTATCCTACAAAATTCCGTTCTATTCCATATATTTCTGTGTATATTTCCCTAACTTTGATATTGGCTAAATGCGAAGGCAAAGCCAAAGATGGAGGAGGAGAAAAAAAAAAAAAAAAAATGCTACCACTATGCTGTGTCTCCTGTCAAATATTGTCAATTAATGTCAATCAGTGTGCCAATCCAATATATAGTGATTTGTGGTTGTTTAATTAAATTTTCAGAATTTTCTAGTTTATTTAAATTTAATTGCTATTTCAATGCTTTATTTTAATAAGCAATTGTTAACACTATATTACCATCGCGAAAATGACAGATAATACACCATTTGTATTTTGTGATTGATTGGTGTTTCTTTAGTATATTTACTAATAAAAATATTTATTTAACCTAGTATTGCTTGACTACACTTATCAGAGGTACTGTAATAAACTCGTATGTAACTATGAATGATGTGTATTTCATTTAAATTATAAGAATATATACAAAATGTTATCAAATTTTTTTTGAGCACGGATAAAAATGGCTTTCTTTTTTACTTATGTGTTCTAAGAAAATAAGCACTTACATGTATATTTATGTTTTGTTACAGGTGTTCTTTCACTGAGAATAATTATTCACTATCTAATCACATTTTACTCATATATGCTACTTATTCTACTGCTGCACTCTAAATACATGTTGTGCTTGAAGTGACAGGACAATTAATATATACTGGTTATAAAGTCTGTGAAAAAAATTTAATATGTAAGTTAAATATGATATAAGAATTATGTAATGATTGGTAGCCTAGTAGTTGCTAAGAATAGTCTTCATGACTAATCCCTGATGGGATCCTTGGTACAGGGAGAGCACAATAGATCGGCATAGGTTGTTGTTGTTGTCCTACAAAAAAGTCCCATGACTACTGCTTAATTGGAATTAAAGTTGTATGCCCATGTCCTGTCCTCATGATGCAATTAAAAAATCTACAAAGATTTATTTTGTGATTGAACTTCCTCAAGGTGCCGCTCTACATGAGTGATTTCCTGCAATGCTGACTCATATGTGTCTCTGCATAGATCATATTCATTTACAATTTCTTTAAGTTTTTCTTTTTCGATATGTAGTACTTCAAAGTCTGTACTGATCTTCACTTAGTCATTCTTCAGAGCCACATATTTATCAGACATCAACTTAATTTCAATGTCACTTTGATCTTGTTCCTGTAATAAGGCATTATTTAAATCATTGGATTTTTTTAACTCTTCTCTAACTTCACATCAAAATTCATTCTGGTCACAAACTGAGCAGGGCTCGTATTATGGGTACTAGACAATGGATGTAAATACAGAGATACATAATTAATATTTATAGAAAACACCCAAACCATGACAATTATCTAATATTTTGTTTACCTAAATAAATTGAACATAAAAGATGATTATAAAAAATCATATGCATGAATACAAATGGTGTATGTAACAACTAGACCACGGTGTCCCTCAATAACTATAGATATGATATGTTAACTTGTCAATACGTTAATATACAATTACTCAACTTGTGCAATTTTATTAACTTTGTTATGATTCAACAGGACGGAGTATTGGAAGTCACAAGCTAGGAAATACTGTGAATTTTGCAAGTGTTGGTATGCTGATAATAAAGTTGTAAGTACACATGACACAGCTAAAGAAATTTGATGATAGAAATTCTAGTTATTATTATATATTGTAACTTTTGCAGTCAATATCTTTTCACGAGAATGGAAAACGACATAAAGAAAGCATTCAGAAACATATATCCCAGCTCAGTAAGAAGAGTGCAAAAGAATTCAAACAAAAAGAAAAAATGGATGATGATATTAAGAAAATGGAGAGTGCTGCAATGGCAGCATATCTTAAAGACGTACAAAACAATGCTGACCTCACATCACAGGTATGCATATTACATTAAAAATTGGTACCTACCTAAATGTATAGTAATATCTTAAGGCTGCATGATCCCCTCCCCTCTCCATACAAAATGGATTATTATGAAAATTAACATTTTAACTCCATTAAATTTTATCTATAAGATAAGCCAACTAATATTAAATTTCAGACTAGTCAGATTTAAACTAGTTTGTTTTAGAATTACATTAAACTGAAATACTGGATTACCACGAAAATTATATTTGTGTAATATTTAGCTGTTTCATGAATAATCCAAGACAGTATAAAAATATAAAAGAAAACTTTTGGAGTTATAATAATTTTTTAGAATAATAATAAAATTTTTACTGTATGATCGAGAAGCTGAGAAGAGAGGAACATAAATATTTAAGGTGTTTTAATAAATGGGAGACACAATCTCTGTTAGATATACAATACAAAACTAAAAACACTACATAGTATGTAATGCCATTTAAGCTATTTAAGGAATGTATAAAAATTATTTACTTTCAGAGCATAAATGAAATGTTAGGTGATAATAAAGAGTTGCAAGTGGGTACAACCTCTACAACACCTGCAAAGAAAAGTCCACCCGTCTGGCACGAAGTCAAAGGCGATGATGACAGTTCTTATTTCTGGAATACTAGCACAAATGGTAAAGAAACTAATGACATCATAATTTTCCATGCTGTTCATAAATTATGTTATACATTATGATGAAGGGCCCAGGGTGTCAACAAAGTATCTTAGATTTCACGATGAAATATTTCAAAATCTAAAATTGTCTCTGAATTGTGACTGCATTAATTACTCTTGTAAAGAAAAAGACGAAATATATATATATATGTTAATTATTTAATTAATGTGTGTAGTGTGTAATTTTATTCTTATATTATAATGGTATTAAGGGCATGAACTTCGTGCTCCTATAAGTTTTTTGTAAACCTATTGAAATAAAATAAACATTTTAAGTGAAGTTAACCTCAATACATTATTAAATACCGCGCCCAAATGAGTTAAGGCGTTTCTGAAATAAACGTACAGCTGATAATACGTATAATCATTGTTTTGGTTTCTATTACATTAATAAAGTCAACCAATAATATTTTTTTTAATATATCTTCCATTTACAGTTAGAGATCAGTCACTTTTTATTTGGGTTATTAAGTCTGTATGTACTTTTGGCTTTGTTGTATGTGCGTTAAAACTACATAAATAAATGATATATACAGATATAATATTAAATGACCTGACTGACATCAATTTTCTATAAGCTTGTATACATCTATAGAGATGTATAGCATATATGTATAACAGACTATATAGATAGTCTGTTCTTGTTTGCGAGTTTAAGACGTATTGTACCTTATACTTATTTCAGAAACAACTTGGGACCCGCCTGATGAATATCTATCTCTTGCTCAACAAGAAGAAAACAAATTGAAACAGACAAAAGAAGAGAAAACAAAAGAAAAAGTGAAGTATGTTTTATAATTACAATTGTATTAGTCATACGTAATATTTATATGCACTAAAACAATTATGGTATTAAAATCTGAAACTACTGTAATCCCAGATCCTATAATCAGGTGTATTGTAGTTGTTTACAAAGACAAATTAAATCAAATCGAAGTTTATTGAATCGGAAATTTACACTTAATAATATTAAGAATGCGAAAGTTTATAAGTATGCATTTTTGTTACTCTTTCACACAAAAATTACTAAACGGATTTGGATGAAACTTTACAGTAATATAGTTTATGCGTCAGAATAACACATAGGATAAATTTTATATACTGAAATTTAACGCGGGTGAAACCGTGCTACTATAAAGCAATTGTGGTATATATTCTACTACTAGTAGAATATATACCACAATTGCCTTCTTATGGACGTATTAGACTTGCGATGTTTATAATAGAATTTGGTCAAATATTAGACACGCGTGGCTTTACGTGGGCAAAAATCAAATTCAAGACCAGAGATGTTTTTAGCGTAATAAATCATAGATCTTATGTTCATTTTATTGCACTGTATCTATTGTATCTTTAAATGTTATATTATAAATATATGTTTTGACATAGAAAACAGAAGCAAAAAGAAGCCGTTAAAGAAGCTAAAGCTCACATGGCACGGGAAAAAATGAAAGAGTTAGCTGTAAATAAAGATGAACCTCCCTCGGCCAAGCCTGTGGACTACGGGCCGGCACCTCGCGCTGTCAAGCCCTATGGTTCCTGGACGCCTGTCATTAACGAGTAAGTGATTCGTATTGGATTTTATTTTTATTTATATTCAAATTCAAATTCAAAGCCTTTATTAATTGACACAAAATTATACAATCTAACAATATTTAATTAAAAGTTTAAAATATAAAAGAAAAATATTAATTATATATACGTTTTATTTTACTTTTAATTCTGCACATCAGTCTCTGAGTCAACGTGTCCTTTAAACACAAAGGCCTCAAGCGTTATCCATGTGTTCCTAACTTTTGCCAATCGGAGCCACAGTGGTCCGGCAATCTTTCTAATTTTTATTAATAATAATAGAGTAAATCTAGGGGTAGTGTTCATTAGTTGGAATTGGTAAGTTAATACAGCGAACCACCGGATTACAAAATACATGTAATAATAATATTCCAGGACAATTTAACAGTTGTTTATGATTGAAGAAAGTGTATAGGAACACTTTCTTCAGTCATAAACAACTGTTACAAATATATATACATTTTATGTAAATATTTTATATATATTTTATATATATTTATATCCATACATAACATACACAGAAAACACTCAAACTTATGAATACAAATGTTTGCGAGGCGCGAGGAATCGAACCGGCAACCTTCGTATGTAAAGCGGTGTGCTAAATATATAATTTAATGTAAATATTATCCTTTTTTTTTCTCACATTTGGGCACGTGTTAGTAATCAGTAGTCGCCAATGTTGTCCCCGTTAAATCTTCAATTTATAACACCCAAACGTATAAAAAATAATTGTAATGTTTGTCAGAAAAAGTGAAAATCAGAAAAAAAAAACATGCCAAACTAAGCAAGTAACCACCGCACATTTGTGTGAAAGTTCTAAAAATTATTTTCACATTTCCACTTAGCTTCATTTATACATAATGTGCATAGTTAAAAATGTCTAATGAAATTCGTGTGTTCTACAGGCCTGTTGAGGCAGTAGACCTTCAATTGCCAAAACCAGAGAAGCAGACACCCCCACCGCCTGTGGTGATGGAACCAGAAGTAATCAAATTCAAGGAAAAACGCGTCGAGTCACTTGGTGATGGTCCAGTCGAATTCAAAAAACGGAAATTTAATACTGCCAAGCGAAATATGCGCCAGAAAATCGATGATGATTGAAATTAGTATTTTTTATACTGAAATAAATTATATTTTTAAATATTGTTGTTTTTTACTATTCCCTACAGAATGAGAAATAAAAATGCTAACCCGTGACTTCAGCATTGGCGCTCTTAGAGACACCATGTGTTTTTATATATAGGTATCTAGTACACCATAGATATTAAAATTATGGGCGATTAGTATCCAGAAAAAAAATATGGATTTTTAAGCCATTTTCTAATGAGTAAGAATCTCACAAGGGTCCTTTCAATCCCTCGGGCGCGGTGATTCAAACTCAAAATAATTTATTAATGTTGGACCTTTTGGCCTCTTATACACGTAATTTTTTTATCAAAATACCTACTGTCAGTGTGATTGTTTTTAGAAATACAAAAGGTTAGTACGTTTGTTACGTAGTAAGTACGTCTTTTGTCCGCATACTTGTGGATGTACAACTTTATTATGTGTTGCAAAAAAGTCATAAAGAAAATTTGTAGAGTCAATATGGTTCTTATGTAAATGTTCAGTCTGTCACGGGACAAAATGTTATTTATGTTTTTACTACTGGAATGGTAAACAAGTTTACTTTAAGTTGGGACTGCTTTCCAGAGATTAGGTCCGTATATATATATAATGGCCTATGCGTCTATTATAGACGATTTATGGCGTAATGGTCCGTGAACAGCTTTTTTCGTGGCTGTATAAACCGATACGAGAACGGCATGGCCTACCACAGGCCCGGCAAGGGAAACTATTGGCAGTAGTCTGTACTGAGCCGCCTAGGTGGCGCTTCCGTCTCTTGTCAGCAAGCCTTTGAAGCCAGGCATCATCGCAAACCCTTCGACCCTCCATTACGCGTTTGCGCCAATCTGATTTATTGGTTGCGAGTTTTTCCCAGCTACGGTGGTCTATTTGAAATGTGGCCATGTCACGTTTGGCGCAATCCTTAAAGCGAAGCAAAGGCCTCCCTACATCTCTCTTTGCATTCGCTATTGCACCGAGCAGAACGCGTCGTGGTGAACGAGAGGGTTCCATTCTGTGCACGTGCCCTAGCCAACGTAGACGCTTCTGTTTAAGAAATGCAGTCAAGCTAGGCAGCTGTGCGATTTCTAGAATCCTCTCGTCGAAATGCCCAAAATTTTGCGTAGACAACGCATGTAAAAAGTGTTTAATCGACTCTCTTGTTTTGCATACGTTGTCCAGGTCTCGGCTCCATATAGGAGAATGCTTAGTATGGAAGCCTGAAAGACTATGGTAGTCTTGGTCTTGGTAGTCAGGTATTTGTTGTACCATACTCGCTTACTAAGCCTCCCAAACATAGTTCCCGCCTTGCCAATACGTGAGTCTATCTCCGCTTCAAGCGAGAGATTGTTTGACACGGTCGACCCTAAGTAGCAAAACCTGTCAGCTACCTCTAACAGCGTGCCATTCAAAGAAATTAAAGGGGCTTCTTGAATGCCTTGTGTTAGCACAACTGTCTTCTTGGTGTTAACAGACATAGCGTACAGGGAGCAGGCCTGAGAAAATTTGTCCAACATAGACTGAAGCTCAGCTGCAGAATTGGCTACAAAGGTGGCGTCATCGGCAAAGAGAAGACCATCTACGAAAAGGTCCTCGCGGTTTCTCTTGGATTTGAGGAGAGAGATGTTGAACATATTTCCGTCGGTCCTTGTATGCAGATGGATACCCTGGTGGTCATCGCCGAATGCTGTGTATATCAGGAGCGAGAAATATATTCCAAACAGGGTGGGAGCCAAGACGCAGCCCTGCCGCACACCTCTGGAACGTCAAACGATTCAGACGACTGGCCGTTAAAAACTATGGTGCCCCTCATATCCTCGTGGAAAGATTTAATGAGGCTCAGGAGTTTAGGTGGACACCCAATGCTCCCCAGCGCCGAGTACAAACCCTCCCTGCTAACCGTGTCAAAAGCTTTGTTGAGGTCAACGAAATCCACAAACAGGGGAGTATTCTGCTCTCTACACTTTTCTTGCAATTGCCTGAGTGTAAAGATCATATCTACCGTGGAACGCTGAGAACGGAACCCGCACCGTGTCTCTGGGTAAATGCGCGCCGCAAGCTTTTGGAGTCTACATAGAATAACACGTCCAAAAAGCTTGCCAACTATACTCAGAAGGGATATACCACGGTAGCAGTTGCAGTCGCCGCGGTCACCTTTCCCTTTGTATAGTGTTATGATGTTGGCATCTCGCATATCCTGTGGCACATCACCCGCTTCCCAGCACTTCAACAAAAGATTGCGCAAGATTGGTTTCGCGCATTCGAGTTTAATTATTTCAGCCTGGGTGCCATCTTTTCCGGGACTCTTTCCGCGTTTAAGCTGATTGACAGCCACGATGAAATCCTCTAAGGACGGTGGATCATCCAGTTCGGTCCAAACATCCATTTTCGGCATACTCAGCACTGCCTCTGGCTGTAAGTATACAGGACGTGAGTAGAGACCGGTGTAATGCTCAACCCAGCGTTCGAGCTGTTTTTGGTTGTCGGTTATAATAAAACCATTCGCGTCCTTAAGAGGTGCTGACTTCTTTTTAATAGGTCCAAGGGCCCGTTTGACACCCTCATAGACACCACCGATGTCCCCTCTATCTGCACAGGTTTGAATGGTGCGGCCAAGTTCCGACCAGTATAAGTTGACATAGTACCGTGCACTCCGTTGAAGAGCTGCCTTTGTAGCTCGAAGCGCTTTGTCGGTGTCCGTACTGGGATTCAAGCGGTGCCGAAGGGCAGCGTTACGCTTTGAGTCCAGCAATGGTTGAAGGTGCTCGACATTTTCCGCGAACCAGTCGTGAGATTTGGTTTTCTGATAACCGAAAACCTCGCCGGCGCTCTCAGTGAGTAGTTTTCTGACGTTATTCCACTCAACATTTATAGGTGCACTACCGTCCCATGCAGCAAGCATTTCTTTTGCCAAACACTCAAATTTTGGACACATTCGTCATTCCTGATATTAGAATGATTTAGCTTTCTTCTACCCGGCACCTTGGACGAATGTATCCTCTTGGGAGTGAAGGCTATGTGTGCCGCTACCAGTGAGTAGTCGGTGTTGCAGTCGGTACTATGGAAGGAACGTGTGTGGAGAATATCACGAAGATTTTTGCTTCTAGAAAGTACTATATCCAGTTGATGCCAATGACCAGATCTCGGATGTTTCCAAGAGACTTTACGCGACGTTTTACCCTTGAAATATGTATTAGTTACACACAGCGAGTATTCGGAGCAAAACTCGAGTAACCGTTGACCATTTTCATTCAGCTTGCCAATGCCATGGTAACCAATACAATTCGGCCATGCGGTATAATCTCGGCCAACACGGGCTTTGAAGTCGCCTAAAATATAAAGGCGATCGCCTCGATTGACATTCTTTACTGTCTCCCTCAGTTGGTTATAGAATCGATCTTTTGACTCGTCCGTAGATATTAAAGTCGGAGTATAAGCGGAAATAATAGTAATAGAACCGCAACTGCTATTGAGTCTCAAGACCATAATGCGTTCCGAAATGCCGCGTGGGTTCTCGATGGCGGACAGTAAATCGTTGCGGATCGCAAAACCCACTCCGTGTTCGCGAACATCTGAGGACTCTTTTCTTTAATTATATAATATTATGTTATCTGTGATATAATATACAATAATAGCGTCGTCTCTAGATACTATCTACACAAAATATTTGTTTTCCTGAGTACCTACTATATCACTACCTATTTGTAAGAAATGAGTTTGACGCGAATAATATTTTTTTAATATTTGTATTATTGGACAATTTGTAAACATTAACATCTCGAGTAATCTCGACTAAATATAGAGAGTCCCTAACTTACTATACGTTTATTGATTATTGGTGTTTATTATACTTTTAATAACACGTTTAAAATAAAACCACCAGTGGAACCCTAATGCTCGAGAGCACTCGCCTAGATTTTACTTAAATTCGAGTTAATAATGAATCCATAAAACGTAATTACGTCCTTGTCGTCATACGACTTCAGAAGATGAAAAATAGTCGGCTCTCAACATATACTACGTACATATATGTTTTGGTATGTTACTTTTAATTAATAACTGGTGTTTCAGCGAATCTTGTTCGTTCTAATTCACCTCAATTAAACTTAATTTCATTCGTTATGAAATTTAGAACATAGAAACGTACCTATGTTATGTAATAAAAGCTTTACCTACTAAATAACTACTTATTTGGAATAGGTACCTACCGACGTAATTTTAAGACTAGAACTAAGACATAGAAATTTATTTAAACCATGAAATTAAAATCATAGTTAATATATATAGGTATAGAACGTAGATATTTAGAACATTTCTGACGAAGATTTAGTTCTACGTGATAAATGTAATGTTTTAATATCCGTGCGAAACCTAAGCTTGTACCTAGTTATGATGATGGAGCCGACGGAGCCTAATAACAATTTACCGAAAGATCGCACGTTCGAAAAATAGAAATCTATAGACTATTATTTATAAACCAAATTATACAATCTGAGAAATAGCAAAAATACCAAATAATGTATGAAGTACCTACATATTAAAAACAATAAATAATGACGGCTGAATATTATCAATACTGGAGCGATATTAGGGGCTATTGGTACTTTAATAATTACATTTTTATGTAATCTGTGTATATACAAAAAATTGCTGTGTCACTATGGTCACACCAACGTCTTTATATTTTTTTTTGTTTCTAAGAGCAGTCTCTAAAACCTAGGAAATATGTAAATATCAACTGGAGGGTAGGTCTAAAAATATCTTGGATATTTAAGCAGTTCCAAATCTGGTCTAACATAGGATTGAGCCGTTTTACACCTTATAATAACCACCTACATACTCTTGAGTTACTTACATATAGGTAGGTACCAGCAGAACTCCACTACACTACTCCATATTTCATACCTATATGAATCACAGAAATATCTTTCATCATTAAAATTCGGATAGTCGTTAATGAATACGAATTATAAATAACTTTGTAGAGTACAGCAGAAGTCAGAATTATAACAGCCCATTATATTTTGAAGTATAGATACTTGAAGTAAATATAACGCGGTCGTGATGTGGCACTGATATGGAAATGACGCGCTATTAACTTTTAATGCGACATTGTATATCACGATTAGGTCCGGTATCATTGAGCTGAGGACGATTCGGCGATCATTAGTTTTTCCAAGCACGGACAGGACTCCGTACCCTATATAAAGGTACCGCAGTAGGCTGGCACATCATTACCGACCTAAACGCTATCGGCACTCCTGTCTAGGTAGTTTAACTCTAGATTCAGGTTCCTGTGCTTAGTGCTCGCTTAATCAGTCAACATGTTCAAATTGGTAAGAATTTATATATTTAATTAACATTCCATAATATAGGTACACTATTGGTAGTTTTGCCTAAAGTCAATTTTGCTTTTAATAAAATTGTGTTCGTATTGTTTTAATAGGTAACAACATATTAAACATAACAACATATTAAATAAAAACTTCTTGTTATAGACTTTAATCATGTAACGCTGTTACTAACAATTCTCAGTTGTAACAGATTGAAAAAGTTGGATTTGAGATTTTCTGTGATGAGTAAATATTATGCTGATTGGCATGTTTGCAATTGCAACTGTGAAATGTAAAGATACGTTATAGGTATTTAAAAATAATAGGTTCATTTTAAATTCGAAGAATAATAGGTTCAAGTTAATTTCGAATAATAATTGTTACTATAGGCGTTAATTAAGTCATTCACCTATCTATGTCAGCGACATCATTTGTTCCCCTTCAGAGTGTTTGGTGTCAGAACCCGGTGGTTTACTACCCCGATTTATAAAGACCCTCAATATAGCAACATAGTGATTGACACACACTAAAAAGAAGGATGTCATTAACAGTTATGTAATACCAGCTTTATTTAGATGATTATGTCCTATACATTTCTGTACTTTTTTGCAAATTTCATGACTAAAAAGATAGGGATTTATGCAAATTGTAGAAATTATTGCCACGTGAACAACATACCTTTGCTACTCTCTTTATTTTATAGTGCCACTAAAAACCAGATGCATGTTCGCAAAGAATATTGTTTATTTTTAATAATATATGTATCTACTGGTTAAGTTCTATTATAATTATTATCGCAAATTTTAATTTTTTTTTGTTTCTATTTGTTTACTTTCTATTAACGGTAAATAATTTTAATTTCAATTCAGATGGTAATTCTCGGCATCGCCGCTATGATGCTGGTGGTTCCTGCATTGTCCAAACCTCAAGTGCTGCTGGACTACGGCTACTACTCAGCACCAGCGTACTACGCGTCTTACAGTGCACCGTTAGCTTATTCCTACCCATACGCTTATACTTATTCCTACCCACTAGCTTATATCTAACAATGGTAACAAACGAACTGACTAAGTTAGCAATAAAATAATCCACCAAATTAATTATTAATTATAAGGGTTATTATTACATATAGCAATATACAGGGCAGAGCTAGGAATGTAAAACATAACTTTACCATATTATGGTAAGTATCTGGACAATTTGGAATCATTATATAGTATCTAATATTAACTAAAATGTTTCTTGCAAAACTGTACGTTGTCTACAACCCTTTAAATTAAAAACCTTTGTTTACATTACACATTACAAGAATTTTCTTCAATGTATCTATGCCTACAGGTAAACAAGTGTGTAGAAACTTAAGTACTTATTAAGTAATATTGTTTGTAATTATGTATTGAAGACAGATATAACTATTAATACCAAATAAAAAAAAATGTATTTTATATTAGTTCTTGTACCATAACTTGTTCGTAATTAATGGTTTATGTTTTAAAAAGTGTTGTAAATAACAGAAAGGCGCCATATTACACCTACATTTAAATAAAAATAAAGCTTTTTATAGCATAGATACAAATAAAGTTTCATTACAACTAATTTTGACTTATTTATTTCATACGTATAAAATCTTAATATTTATTTAAATAAAAAGCAAGTAGCTAGTAATTATTTTCCTTAATTATCCACCCCAATTTTTTATTCAAGGTTATGAAATTGTGCACCCCCCTAAGCTAATGATATGCTCTGGTGGGGTACCAATGAACTCAAGTCAGGTAGGTACGTTCGTGCCGAATTTGCCACAAATTAATCATGGTTTTCAGAGAGGACCACGTGGAGGCCCATCTGACATAGTACATTGCTGGCAATGAGGCCACTAGCGATCGTCATTAATGATAAATAAAGTAGTAGCACCTACCTACTGTGTACCTATATGTTAGAATGATCACACTTACATATTAGTGATTAGCTGTGCCCGCGACTTCGATCGATAGTAGTGGACGCAACGGAAGCCCTCAAAATATGAATAATTTTCCCAATTTTTGCAACATTTTTCTCTGATGTTATACTTCTATATGTCGTAGCGTTATATAGCTTAAAGTCCTCCTCGACAATGGACAATCCAACACAAAAAATATTTTTTTAATTCAAACCAATATTTAGAGTAGTGGGTTCAAACAAAAAACTTTTCAGCTTTACAATATTAGTATACATTATATAATTCTTAATTCAACGAAGTTAATAATTTCTCATGTAACTAAAATAACATCTACCTATATCTATAAATACTACCTACCTACCTACTACCTATTTATAAATAAATGTTTACCAATTATTCTAATTGGTACAACAGTCATCAAATATATTTGTATCGGATCAAAAGAGAAACACTTATAATTTTTTACATATTAGGTATTGTTCACGTATGGGATTACGTATGCGTATCTATTGTCATCCAGATGACTCTACTAATGACATAACCATCATGGCATCACAAGGCCATTACTTACCTCGGTTTTCCTCTTCATTTGTATGCTGATGAGATATGATTTTGACAACTTAAGGATAATCTATCAAGACTCTATTATACCTGATATATGTATTATAGTATGGTTGTACATAAACAATTACATGATATTCATTTATATATATTCGTTTTAAACGTAGCATGGGTGCAGTTTTATCCTGTATTGTAAAGTAGTAGTCGCCTAATAGATTAAAACAGTAATATCTCTAATTTACTCATCCTACAATAATGATAATTAAATATATTTACCTAGGTACCTATTCTACGTTATTTTAGTTAGGAGTTTTACGAGTACAAACATACGTATTATACTATGGAAAAAGAGTAGCAAATAAATCTTATTTTATTTTCAATTACACAAACGGTTATCGTATAAATAATTTCTTTCTTCTTTCTAGTGGCGACCAGGGCCTTCAATGTTGAATTAAATATGTAGACGAAAAATTTGCAATAATTATATTAATTTATTAAAATAATTTAAAAGAACAGCTATATTATCATTCTTCGACGACCAGCAAAATCAACTCATTATTACATACTCTAAAAGAACATATGAGTAAAAAAAAATTAAGGTTAATAGGTGAATAAAAATCATTTGTTTCTACTAGTTTTATTATTAGGAAACGTACAATAATTACACATATTTTGACAGTTTATTGTGTAAATGTTAGAATGATTGCAAAGGTATACGCGCAGATGCAGATTACGTTATTGACTATCCTATTGGTACGTACGTACCCAAATACAATATAGTTTTCTATATAGGTTATAACTCGTTTCGATCGGACCATATGCAAAAAATGCGTCATCACCATCGACCCTTTTGTTGACAAAGTATAACAAATTGCAATGTGAAATGATTTCATTTCACTTAGATTTAATATAACTAATTAATCGACTTATTGTGCATTAGGTACTTTCAGGTGAAAATAAATAGGTATGGATTTTGTATTAGAATCTCATTAAATAAGAAATTATTTCAATACAGATTTTTATTATTGGTGAATGAAATTTTAGTTTGCACAGATATGTATGTCATCTGTAGGTTCTACACGATCCTTTTAATACTTATTTTTACATGATATCGGAAATGCATGATCCCTATAGACCTGTCTTTAACTTATTTAACTGAATCAAACCCTTAGGTAGGGGCAGAATGCTGGATTCTTATAAATAACGATTAACCTATAAACTGATGAATATCTGCATTGTCCTCATACTTCTAAGATGACTTAGTGATGCGATATATTTATAGAGATTGATATAAAGTCGGACCAAGATACTGACAAGTAAGCTACATTATTATATCTACACCGTATTGGTAGATTATATTCAAATATTTAATTTTATATCTGTATATATATGATCTACAAGTGGTTTACCTTAATAATGTTAATAAATCTAAATATTAATATAGTTACAATTACAAACTATTATAAATTAGGTAGTTAATAAAAGTTACATTAACATATTTGTTAATAAGATTTACATATTACATTTTGATTTAACAAAACGTATTTCGCGTATTGCAATCCCTTATTACCACCACACACTGCGTAATAAAAATTTCCAATCACTTCGTTACTCCGTAACCGTTCACACATTACACTCACAGTCTGTGCAACTTCACCACTACACCTAAATCTTTAAAAGTCTTTTGGTTTGGAGTACATTTCTAATATTATAAAACAAAATAGTTCCACATCAATATATATAACTTCACGTATTAATTTTTATTGGTTGATACCGATGCCTCCAACGTTGACTATTTTTGAGGGTAGAATCGTGGATTGACCGCGAAGCATATTACGTATCCTTATTTAACGGATCACGAGTAGTGGTCCAATCCATTATGATACTTCAAGCTACCTCAAGGTCGGAGTCGGAGTCGTCGGTGTAAGGGCGAGGAGTCGGCGGCGCGGGTGCAGAATGGGTTGGAGGCGAATGCGCTGGCGAGAGCGTCGCCCGCGTCAATAATGGTGCCCGCCCGCATGCTCTCTCCTCCTGCAACTTCCTCAGTCGCTCTTGTTCCTCTCGTTTTTGCTTCCGCCATTTCGCACGACGATTTTTAAACCATACCTGATGAGAAAGTATAGGGTATTAGAGAATAATTGGCAAAAAAATCTATCGAAATAATACTAGGTAGGTACTCTTGGTATAGTTTTAGAGAATTAGGTCTCTAGGGATCTCTAGGGAATAATTATATATCCGATGCCTTTTGGTCTCCAATTACAGTCTAATATTTGTATATAAGTTCTAAATATAATTAATATTTTATAAATTTCGCATCAAGCAAATACTGGAGAAGTAAGACGAGACTAAAATTACGTACCCATATCTGAATTCTGAAACACTAGCTGAGTAAACAATTATTTATTTTTCTTAATGCTGTAAGACTCCAAGAAATCTTTTGAATTGAGGGATATAAAATTCCTCTCCTTTCCTATATTTCCAAAGATACAATGTTTCCTGTGTGAAATCACATTACAATAGATTCTTAAATTATTGATGCATTCTACAGTTGATGGATAATATTGTAATAGCAAACGAACGATTAAATTATAATACGTTATTCGCGAACAATTGATACAGCCCACACGAATATGTTAAGCTGTCACGGGCACTGCTACCGAATCAATACCAGGTGCCTCACAAAAAATAGGTTAGTGTGCCTTGTATGGGGGCGAATGGGCGATCATTGATACTTCTGAGTAGAGGCTGTGTCGGTGCTTCCACTTGAGTGGTTAGCTACAAGTGGATGCTCCCGATGCGGCCGAACTGCGGGTGGTCGAGCTACCATCTATTGTCGCTTCCACAGTCACAACAACTGACGGTCTCTTTTGAATTCTGACAATCATTCACAATATTGGACATATGTATTACAATTTCTGATTACTTGCTGTATATTGTTACATTACAGTTTAATGGAGAAATAGAAAGATTAAAATGAACTTTATCCTAAGAATCCATACAAAAGAACTCTTATTTATATATTACATTGCATATTATACAATATATAAAATAAATAAGATGAATATACCTATGCTTTCTGTTGCTAAGCACACCAGAAAACTGGCTGGACCAATTTAACATTCTTTTATATAACTCTTGAAGCTCGAAGAAGGTCCTCATTAAGAGAAAACAAATTCCCAGGATATAATAAAAAAATTCTACCTTTCTTTTTCCCATGCAAACTGTTTTTAGCTGTCCATTGGAACATTTCTTAGAATTAAGTAGAATGTGGATGAACGAGGTAAAATAGAATAGAATGAAAAGCATGGAACGTGAAAACAATAAAAAAGGAGGCAAGAGAAGGAGAGGGAATAAATTCAAAATAAATCTGGGTAATCTTTTAATTTGAGAGGATTATAGATTGTTCAGATTTAAATAGACGTCAAAACTCGAGCAGTAGCTGTGTGCGTTTTCTGAAATTTGATATGATATGATAAAATGATATATTATAATAATATATACGAGGCAAAAACAAAAAAAAAACTTATAAAAAAATGTGCCCGTTGAAGTCTTTTACATATGCAGGTGGCTAATGGTTTCAATATGCCAATTTGCACATACCTATATCAAAGAAAACTCATTTTTAAATGTGTTCTTTATTCATAACTATAATAGGTACCTACTACAGTTTGGATAAAAAGTGTATGATTTTTTAAATAAAATCTTCTTAAATAAAATATTTTACTTTTAGTTAGCGATAATGTAAAGCAAGTCAAGTCTATTCAAGACTATTATTTCTAATATATTTGTACAGAACTAGTAATTTATTATTTATAGATGAGTAATAGAAATTAAGAAATATCGCTTTATTTTTATTATAACATAGTTGTAAATGGTTTATAAGTACGAGTACTAGAACACTTATGTTAGTCTCAGAAATCATAAGAGTGACAAGATATGTGATTTTACAAATAACATTTGTTTTGACTATTAGGTAGTATAATATTCTAATACATATTATTAAAAAATGTGGTATGCGTTTGCAGTTTACCTGAATGTTAAATTGTAATTAATATTTCAATTACAGATATTTATTGAAATGTAATAGAAGTTTGTGTAACCTATAATTTCTTACGCAGTTTCCACCTAAACAGAGACCGTAAAAAGAGTGATATAAGTTCTAGTAATGTTCACAATTGCATATATTAATTTATCAAATAATAAACAATTATTTAATAATACTACGAGATTGTTCATTTCATAAACATCACTCATAGTCCCCCAATTCTTCGAACACCAAACCGGCAAAGCTAAGAAGGTTAAAATGAATTCGTTAACGATACCACTATTGTTGGAGTTAATTGCATTATGAGAGTCGGTCGTTGTCCTCACAATAGCTCTATTAACTTTCGGGGAAAGAATGACGGGGTTTTCGCACTTGGCGTCCGCTTCGCCGCCGCACCATTCGGTGGCACTCGAGCGGGAAATATGGCGTTGGTGATGGCAGACGGCAGGGCGGCCCTACGCCCACTGTACGCATACGACTTCAATCTTTTGTCCTTGCTCGCGCACGATAAGATTACATCGGCACTCTTTTGTATACCACTAATTGTGTTTGGCTTAACCAGTTTGTTATTCATATCAGTAGGTAAGAGGTAAAGTTTATAGTTGGTACAATTTGGGTACAGGATCCCTAATTCATGTAAGGGATTCTCTTGTAGGTTTTAATTTAAATTTTACGAATATTACACATATATATGTTGCATTATCCCCTTTCATTCTTAGAATGTTTTAAAAGTCAACTGGTGAAAAAAATTATTGACACCAATCAGTAACAGAAGGAAAACATAATATATTTTTTTATAATAATAAACACAGATAAAATAATACTATAACATTTTATTTTCAATATCAGCAGTCTTTTCATTCTCATGATATCATAAAATTCGACTATGTGTTAGGTTATATCTAACATATTCATTATTATACATGTTACTACTAAAAAGTATGTACTCTATCCTAAGGAGATAAAAACCATCGCTCCTAAGAATATCCTTCAACTTTTGTTCCTGACGGGTAGGTAGGTAGGTAGCGAACTTTGAAAAAGGGCGACCACAATAAATCTATATAGGTCGCAATGCTACATATCTAAAGTACTTAATAATACAAAAATAAAACCAAACCGATTAATAGAAAAAAAAAACTATTTGTTATGAAAAGGAAATTTTATAAACTAAACTTTACTGTTTTCCAATTTTCAGTAATCCTCTTATTAGGACAAAACATCGAAAGTATATACAGATATGTAAAGCTCTTATGTTATTACGTAACCATGTACGTACACATAAAAGCCAACGTTCAATGAAAAGCTTCAGTTGACGGGCACTCTCCATTGTTTTAGCTAGCGAGCTCACGAGTAATTTTAAATCTATTATACAGCCTACTTACCTATGTAGCGCTGCCAGGGTTCTGTATCATGAATACACGATTCACTCCCCGCAGGCTTATAGGTAGGCTGCTAAAAACAAACACTCTCTATTGGAAAGCTAAACCTAATTGTAAATTTGTGTTAGGTATAATAAGTTTCTTTTGTTCGACTTTGCCCGGTATAGGAGTATAGGTACTGAATTGTTAAACAGATTATGTAATTAAGTGCGACTACGTAGAGGTTCTGCCCTTGGCTATTCTGAAACTCGTGGATACACATTATAAATAATTATACTGTAGTTCTCAATTAACCAATGAAGGATGTTCATTATACGATAATATGAAGTGTGGGAAGAGATGCAGATGAGCAGTGCGGGGAGGTTTTGGCGGTTTGGCGGCGTCGATCGCCTCCGGCTATGCGCGCCACGGCTCGACGCCTGAGCCGTACTGTCTGCCTTTACAATTAAGCACTATACCTACCATAAATTTAATTATTAGGTATAGTAATCTATTAAACATAACATGTTTATTATTTAGACATTGTATTTAAATAAATAATCCATATATAAATGCGATAGCAAGTTTGTCTCGGTTTCTTTCTTCTACCTTTTCAAGAGGAAAGACTTTGAGTAACGCAAAAAAAGTTTTTCTTACTAACGGAGCCTCAGTTCTGTACAATATATTGTTATCGCGTTAAAAGACTTCTGAAAAGAAGGCTCCTCTTCTAAAATATGGCCTGTTAGAATTATTTATAGTCAACATGAAAGTAATATATTTTCTTATAAGCAATAATCAGCATGATACTATTATGTAATATTATGTTATCTGTACTACTATGAAAATAGGTATTGTTTGTATCCATTACGATATATATCTATGCCTAAATAAATGTATGTAAAAAAGTCAGTCTAAAACTGAAAACTTAACACAAGTAATATTTCAGTGTCAAGGAAACTACATAAAACAAAGGATTACAAATTTCATTAAATATTAAAGTTGTATCCATTCTAATATTAGAAAAGCGAAATATCTGTGTGACAAACGCCTGAACGGATCTTAATATTTGGAGTGAACATGGTTTTCAATATTTATTACCTATACAATATAACGATGGACAGAGGCTATATTTTAACTCCAAGAACATTGACTAAAGCGCGGGAAAGATATTATCACCCATAAAAGTATAGGATAAATATAATTTCACGGGGAAATTGAAGACTAGATACTAATCCAATATTCTAAAACCTGTGCCTACTACCTACGACTTTTCCATTATATTTTAATAAAACATTATACTTTACTACTAACGGTTAAAGTAATAGTTACCTTAATTCCAGTTAATATTTTGTAAGTTTTTTTAAAATGAAGTTATTCTATTATTTTGAAAAGTATTGTTTCTACAGTATGTACCTAATAGGCAAAAAATACAGGATATTATATTTTTTTAATACCAATACCATATGTTAATTTATTACAATAGGTATATACCTACCACAACTATTTGTGGCTGTGATTTTTTGCTCGTGTATTACAATATAAATAAAATATTATAATGATATTACTTTTTCTATTATTGTCTTAATGAAATAGGAGAGGGTATATTATAAAAACAACTATTCCACCCTTATTTTGAAAAGTGAAATACATCAATCTCAACTTTCCTATTAACCGTTTTTACTTATAATCTCATAATAAACAGT